TGCATCACTAAGGTCAAGTTTCTATGTCTGTTCACTCTGCATCACTAAGGTCTAGTTTCTATGTCTGTTCACTCTGCATCACTAAGGTCTAGTTTCTATGTCTGTTCGTCTGTTCACTCTGCATCACTAAGGTCTAGTTTCTATGTCTGTTCGTCTGTTCACTCACATAAGATCTAGTTTCTATGTCTGTTCGTCTGTTCACTCTGCATCACTAAGGTCTAGTTTCTAGTCTGTTCACTTCTCATGTCTGTTCGTCTGTTCACTCTGCATCACTAAGATCTAGTTTCTATGTCTGTTCGTCTGTTCACTCTGCATCACTAAGGTCTAGTTTCTATGTCTGTTCACTCTGCATCACTAAGGTCTAGTTTCTATGTCTGTTCGTCTGTTCACTCTGCATCACTAAGGTCTAGTTTCTATGTCTGTTCACTCTGCATCACTAAGGTCTAGTTTCTATGTCTGTTCACTCTGCATCACTAAGGTCTAGTTTCTATGTCTGTTCGTGTGTTCACTCTGCATCACTAAGGTCTAGTTTTTCTATGTGTTCACTCTGCATCACTCGTCTGTTCACTCTGCATCACTAAGGTCTAGTTTCTATGTCTGTCTGTTCACTCTGCATCACTAAGGTCAGTTTCTAAGTTCACTCTGCATCACTAAGGTCTATTTCTGTTCGTCTGTTCACTCTGCATCACTAAGGTCTAGTTTCTATGTCTGTTCGTGTGTTCACTCTGCTGCTAATCATGTCTGTTCACTCTGCATCAAGGTCTAGTTTCTATGTCTGTTCACTCTGCATCACATCACTAAGGTTCTAGTTTGCTATGTCTGTTCTATGTCTGTTCACTCTGCATCACTAAGGTCTAGTTTCTATGTCTGTTCACTCTGCATCACTAAGGTCTAGTTTCTATGTCTGTTCACTCTGCATCACTAAGGTCTAGTTTCTATGTATGTCTGTTCACTCTGATCACTAAGGTCTAGTTTCTATGTGTTCACTCTGCATCACTAAGGTCTAGTTTCTATGTCTGTTCACTCTGCATCACATCACTAAGGTCTAGTTTCTGCATACTGTCTAGTTTCTATGTCTGTTCGTGTGTTCACTCTGCATCACTAAGGTCTAGTTTCTATGTCTGTTCGTCTGTTCACTCTGCATCACTAAGGTCTAGTTTCTATGTCTGTTCGTCTGTTCACTCTGCATCACTAAGGTCTAGTTTCTATGTCTGTTGTGTTCACTCTGCATCACTAAGGTCTAGTTTCTATGTCTGTTGTCTGTTCACTCTGCATCACTAAGGTCTAGTTTCTATGTCTGTTCGTCACTGTTCACTCTGCATCACTAAGGTCTAGTCTTTCTATGTCTGTTCACTCTGCATCACTAAGGTCTAGTTTCTATGTCTGTTCACTCTGCATCACTAAGGTCAGTTTCTATGTCTGTTCGTGTGTTCACTCTGCATCACTAAGGTCTAGTTTCTATGTCTGTTCACTCTGCATCACTAAGTCTAGTTTCTAGTTTTCACTCTGCATCACTAAGGTCTAGTTTCGTGTTCGTCTGTTCACTCTGCATCACTAAGGTCTAGTTTCTATGTCTGTTCGTCTGTTCACTCTGCATCACTAAGGTCTAGTTTCTATGTCTGTTCGTCTGTTCACTCTGCATCACTAAGGTCTAGTTTCTATGTCTGCATCTGCATCACTAAGGTCTAGTTTCTATGTCTGTTCGTCTGTTCACTCTGCATCACTAAGGTCTAGTTTCTATGTCTGTTGTCTGTTCACTCTGCATCACTAAGGTCTAGTTTCTATGTCTGTTCACTCTGCATCACTAAGGTCTAGTTTCTATGTCTGTTCGTGTGTTCACTCTGCATCACTAAGGTCTAGTTTCTATGTCTGTTCGTGTGTTCACTCTGCATCACTAAGGTCTAGTTTCTATGTCTGTTCACTCTGCATCACTAAGGTCTAGTTTCTATGTCTGTTCGTGTGTTCACTCTGAATCACTAAGGTCGAGTTTCTATGTCTGTTCGTGTGTTCACTCTGCATCACTAAGGTCTAGTTTCTATGTCTGTTCACTCTGCATCACTAAGGTCTAGTTTCTATGTCTGTTCGTCTGTTCACTCTGCATCACTAAGGTCTAGTTTCTATGTTCACTCTGCATCACTAAGGTCTAGTGTTTCACTCTGCATCACTAAGGTCTAGTTTCTATGTCTGTTCGTCTGTTCACTCTGCATCACTAAGGTCTAGTTTCTATGTCTGTTTCGTCTGTTCACTCTGCATCACTAAGGTCTAGTTTCTATGTCTGTTCGTCTGTTCACTCTGCATCACTAAGGTCTAGTTTCTATGTCTGTTCACTCTGCATCACTAAGGTCTAGTTTCTATGTCTGTTTCACTCTGCATCACTAAGGTCTAGTTTCTATGTCTGTTCACTCTGCATCACTAAGGTCTAGTTTCTATGTCTGTTCACTCTGCATCACATCTAGTTTCTAAGGTCACTAGCATCACTAAGGTCTAGTTTCTATGTCTGTTCACTCTGCATCACTAAGGTCTAGTTTCTATGTCTGTTCGTGTGTTCATTCGGCATCACTAAGGTCTAGTTTCTATGTCTGTTCACTCTGCATTACTAAGGTCTAGTTTTTATGTCTGTTCGTGTGTTCACTCGGCATCACTAAGGTCTAGTTTCTATGTCTGTTCGTGTGTTCACTCTGCATCACTAAGGTCTAGTTTCTATGTCTGTTCGTCTGTTCACTCTGCATCACTAAGGTCTAGTTTCTATGTCTGTTCACTCTGCATCACTAAGGTCTAGTTTCTATGTCTGTTCGTGTGTTCACTCTGCATCACTAAGGTCGAGTTTCTATGTCTGTTCGTGTGTTCACTCTGCATCACTAAGGTCTAGTTTCTATGTCTGTTCACTCTGCATCACTAAGATCTAGTTTCTATGTCTGTTCGTCTGTTCACTCTGCATCACTAAGGTCTAGTTTCTATGTCTGTTCACTCTGCATCACTAAGGTCTAGTTTCTATGTCTGTTCGTGTGTTCATTCGGCATCACTAAGGTCTAGTTTCTATGTCTGTTCACTCTGCATTACTAAGGTCTAGTTTCTATGTCTGTTCGTGTGTTCACTCGGCATCACTAAGGTCTAGTTTCTATGTCTGTTCGTGTGTTCACTCTGCATCACTAAGGTCTAGTTTCTATGTCTGTTCGTCTGTTCACTCTGCATCACTAAGGTCTAGTTTCTATGTCTGTTCACTCTGCATCACTAAGGTCTAGTTTCTATGTCTGTTCGTCTGTTCACTCTGCATCACTAAGGTCTAGTTTCTATGTCTGTTCACTCTGCATCACTAAGGTCTAGTTTCTATGTCTGTTCGTGTGTTCACTCTGCATCACTAAGGTCTAGTTTCTATGTCTGTTCGTCTGGTCACTCTGCATCACTAAGGTCTAGTTTCTATGTCTGTTCGTCTGTTCACTCTGTATCACTAAGGTCTAGTTTCTATGTCTGTTCACTCTGCATCACTAAGGTCTAGTTTCTATGTCTGTTCACTCTGCATCACTAAGGTCTAGTTTCTATGTCTGTTCACTCTGCATCACTAAGGTCTAGTTTCTATGTCTGTTCACTCTGCATCACTAAGGTCTAGTTTCTATGTCTGTTTGTGTGTTCACTCTGCATCACTAAGGTCTAGTTTCTATGTCTGTTCGTCTTTTCACTCTGCATCACTAAGGTCTAGTTTCTATGTCTGTTCACTCTGCATCACTAAGGTCTAGTTTCTATGTCTGTTCGTGTGTTCACTCTGCATCACTAAGGTCGAGTTTCTATGTCTGTTCGTGTGTTCACTCTGCATCACTAAGGTCTAGTTTCTATGTCTGTTCACTCTGCATCACTAAGGTCTAGTTTCTATGTCTGTTCGTCTGTTCACTCTGCATCACTAAGGTCTAGTTTCTATGTCTGTTCACTCTGCATCACTAAGGTCTAGTTTCTATGTCTGTTCGTGTGTTCACTCTGCATCACTAAGGTCTAGTTTCTATGTCTGTTCGTCTGTTCACTCTGCATCACTAAGGTCTAGTTTCTATGTCTGTTCGTCTGTTCACTCTGCATCACTAAGGTCTAGTTTCTATGTCTGTTCACTCTGCATCACTAAGGTCTAGTTTCTATGTCTGTTCGTCTGTTCACTCTGCATCACTAAGGTCTAGTTTCTATGCCTGTTCACTCTGCATCACTAAGGTCTAGTTTCTATGTCTGTTCGTGTGTTCACTCTGCATCACTAAGGTCTAGTTTCTATGTCTGTTCGTCTGTTCACTCTGCATCACTAAGGTCTAGTTTCTATGTCTGTTCGTCTGTTCACTCTGCATCACTAAGGTCTAGTTTCTATGTCTGTTCGTCTGTTCACTCTTCATCACTAAGGTCTAGTTTCTATGTTTGTTCACTCTGCATCACTAAGGTCTAGTTTCTATGTCTGTTCACTCTGCATCACCAAGGTCTAGTTTCTATGTCTGTTCACTCTGCATCACTAAGGTCTAGTTTCTATGTCTGTTCACTCTGCATCACTAAGGTCTAGTTTCTATGTCTGATCACTCTGCATCACTAAGATCTAGTTTCTCTGTCTGTTCGTCTGTTCACTCTGCATCACTAAGGTCTAGTTTCTATGTCTGTTCACTCTGCATCACTAAGGTCTAGTTTCTATGTCTGTTCACTCTGCATCACTAATGTCTAGTTTCTATGTCTGTTCGTATGTTCACTCGGCATCACTAAGGTCTAGTTTCTATGTCTGTTCACTCTGCATCACTAAGGTCTAGTTTCAGTGTATCAGTGAAGTCTGTTTCTATGAACCTGTGATGTCTATTTGCATTATATCACCAGGGCGTTTTTTTCTAGAAAAGAAGGTGCTGTTACGCAGTTAACTGTTTATTACAGCAGCAGTGGAAAAAAGATGCAATTTTTTTTAAAGGTGCCGGTACTGCATACCATTACATATCACCAGAAAAAGCCCTTTGTATCACTAATGTCTATGTTCTATGTAATCTAAGTATTACCTTTGAGACTGGTCATCAGACTGCTGGCATGTGTTTGGGAGGACACCCCCATGACCAAGTCCCCTCCAGACTCTGAGGTCACAGTTTCAAACACATCATGACCCATGATGTCTGTGTCTCCTGCTTCAGACTAATGTATCAAAAGAAAGAAAAAAGAGCAGATTTAAAACAGATATTGTAGCCTAGCTGTAATCACAATACAACTAATCACCCTAATAAGGGTGAACACATAAGAAGACAAAAATAAGATAAATGTATATTCTCTCTCTAGTCTGGCAAAGTACAGCCATAACAATATTAATCAATCATATTTACACACTTGAGTAAAACTATAGTAGTTGCCATTCTGACTTGTTGCTACAGCAAAGTGCCATCATTATTTCAAGTCCAAATGCCAGGGACCACTAGGATTGTACATGTCTATGTTGTCTACTGCCATGTTCATCAGCCTGTGCTTGAATTCACGGCGGCCGACCATAAATGTCCACCCAATTATGCAGCGGCTACAGTGGACACCAAATAGAGAAACTCTCTAAGCAGCAAATGTCGCATTAGCTTCAAATAATAATTTATAACATATTAATAAATGAAATGCAGTCTACATTTGTTTTTGTTTCTAAGCCATCAGTCAGGCCGTTAAATATTTCTCCTGTTATACTGGTCTGCAGGTGTAGAAAGGTTAAAGAACACTGTCTAGTAAGTCCTGTAATCTTCATTTCCCCTCTATTTCCATAAATGACAATATTCTTCTTCTTCTGCGTTGACCCTTAACCTGCCAACAGGTGCCATCTCAGTTGGCATGATGGATATATCCGTTCCGGATTTTCTACAGCCAGTATCTAGTGGGTATGATGAGATTTTCTACAGCCAGTATCTAGTGGGTATGGTGGGATTTTCTACAGCCAGTATCTAGTGGGTATGATGAGATTTTCTACAGCCAGTATCTAGTGGGTATGATGAGATTTTCTACAGCCAGTATCTAGTGGGTATGGTGGGATTTTCTACAGCCAGTATCTAGTGGGTATGATGAGCTAGACACTTGCAACTTTCAACGCTGTGTTTGTTGGAGTCTTCTCAATGTGGCAGAAGCACTCTTTGGTAGCTATGAGGTGTTATTAGTTACACATTTGTCTAGGTCAGCATGCTGTCGCCCGTTCTGTAGGCGCATCACTGTTTGTCTTTGTCTTAACTGAGGCTTCAACTTCACTACTATTGGGGCACCCCAATACCTGATCTGTAAATGTGCCGGTGCAAATCAAATGAAATGTCCCTCACTGTCTCATTTGCAAAACTGGTCAAGAAAAGACCAAAGACTACTACAGAATATTTGTGGAAACTGTATTAGTAAAGTGCTGTTGGAAACAAAAATAACTTGAAACATTCTGCCATGCTTAGTCCTCTATGTCAGACCAGAAGTCCTACTAAAACATGATACTGTCAGAGACGACACCAGTTACTGAACATGAACAATGTTAGTCAACACAAGTACTTTGCTCAGTTATACTGTTGTAGTCTTTGACATAACAACTCATCAGTCAAATGAGTAGTTGTTCTCAGACTGTGTAATGACTGTTTCCAACTAAAGTCAGTGTTTTTCTATTATAGATAGTGCTTCCTAATACAATTTACATTTTGTTGTTACAATGAGTGCTTTATTTTTTTTTTGGTAGTTGTTAATTATTAGAATAAGCATTTCATATTACAGTGAGCTTTACTGCTACCCATTTTGTATGTTATGATGTTGTGAAATGGCTGACTGGGACATGTTACAACGCAAGCCCAGGCTCCCAGTCAACAAATGACAAGTAACCCAGCATTGGTTGCCTTGAAAAAGTTGGACCACTGATCTAGCGAAAGTTGTATCATTATGTATGCAGCATAACGCCAAGGGTTAATATTAATTCTGTTTCAAACTCAGATCAGTGCACCTGAGACAGTAGATTCCATCAGAAAAGTGCTTCTGAGGCAGTAGAATCCATCAGATCAGTTTATCTACTTCTTAGCGTTTTCCAGCTGTTAATTCCAGAGGAAAGTTCTGCTTGTTTGTCCACTTCTGGACTTTAGGCTTGTTCCAGAACTTGAGTTCTTAAGCTGGAAATGAACTTTTTGAAATAAAGAAAACTGCTACAACTACCAGTCACTTTGGCTGATGATATAATTGAATTAACAAAGAAATCCCATGAGCAGACACCAAAACTGTGTGACAGTCAAGCCTAACCTGTATATGAAACTCTGCCACTGTGACAATCTCCTCACTGCCTGCAGAGAATGTGCCAGAATCATGGAGATCACCATCTGCCAAGTCACTCAGGTCTGCAGAAGATTAAATTATAAAACAATAATTAACAAACTACACATCATGAGATTGTGTGATGTTGAAAACATCACCCCGCTATCCTCCGAATAACGGTCCCAAATCATAAAGTGTGTCAACAGTTCCGACACTGAGTGCTAGATTTAACTTCTCCCCTGGGTCCTAGGTTTAACTTCTCCCCTGGGTCCTAGGTTTTACTTCTACCCTGGGTACTAGGTTTAACTTCTACCCTGGGTACTAGGTTTAACTTCTCACCTGGGTCCTAGATTTAACTTCTCCCCTGGGTCTTAGGTTCAGGGTTAGGGTTAGGAGTAGTGCAATTACAACACCGCCATCAGAATCTGTCACAACAGTGGAACCGAGACATTTTCGATTAAAGGGTTATGGATGGAACTAACACAGATGCAACGTAACCACAGTGACACTAGTTGCGCGTTGTTTACTAAATACTTAGCGCAGTTTCCTGGCTGCACAGTCACAAACACTGAGGTCCTGTTAGGGTATTTTCTTAGCCTGGATAATTTGGGACCGTTATTCGGAAGATAACCCATCACCACCAAGTGCTAATGGTCTAAAAACAATGAGTCTAACATCTTATTCCTGATATGCCGCGGGCATAAAAAAAATCCCTTCACTTCCCTCTTAAATGATAATATGATAGCTACCAGTAAGTTAGTTAAGTAGTCAGTCAAGGTTTCAACATCACCCCAATCGTTGCTCCGTTCCTGTGCCAGTGCCAATCAAATGAAATGTCCCTCACTGCTGCATATGAAAAGCTGGTGAATAAGCAACTAATTCTGGAACAATACAGGAATGTGTATTTCAGTTGCTTGAGGCGTCAAAGCCAACAATGGCCACCAGAAATGCAGTTTGTCGTTGATGGAAGTAGTCGGGCCCGATAAGTTGGTTACTATAACACACTCAGGTAGAATAAGCTGTTTCAGCAGCTCACAGGTAAACTGTCCACCTTGAACAAAACGACGACACAACAACAAATAAAAGACATTCCACAGGAAAAACACAGCTTCCAGGGCTGCAACCAAGTATTAAACTCAGAAGCTCATGCAGCAGCTACCAGTAAAGCGGGTCATGTGTTCGGATTCATTTTAAGTGGATATTTTTGTAATTTAACAAATGGTCCAAATACTCAATCTACCTAAAGGCAGGGAAATATGCCCTGTATTTTTACACTGTCAATTATGTCCACTACAGTCAGACAGCAAGCCAACTTTGAGATATCTTTCTACAGATGGTAGCTTTGCACCAACTACTTTGAAACTGCTCATTTTAGAACAGCTATTAGACATTAACTACTGTAACAGAAAACATCAAATAATGATTCTGGTTCTTTGTGTTCCCCAGCTGTAAACTCCAGCAGAAAAGCGTTGTTGTTTATTCATATCTTGACTTCAGTCTTGTTCCAGGACTGGAATTTTGTCTGCACATCCAGTTTATAGATCTGGCTTGTAGACTGTATGCAGACTGTTGGTTCCCTGCATCTCAGGCAGATGCAATCACTCTGAAGGAAATATTCATCCTATCTGCATTGGCCAAGCCCCCGGTGGAGAACTGTTGTAGACAAGTTGTGACTGGTATCTGTAGTTCAGCCCCTCTGCATCCCAAATTATCATGATGAAATATCAAATATTATCAGATTTATAACAGAATGATGACAAGACACAACAAAGAGGTACATACAATGATCTTTAAACATTATACTATTACTAGACAGCACACAGGCGTGCAATATTGACATTTGCAGATGATGTTCTCATATATAGAAAGAGGAGAGATATCAGAATCAAATAGCTGAAGAGTTACAGGCAACAGTAGATAAGGTAATCGACTGGTGTACAGAGATGAGTGCTGTAATCAACCCAGAAAAGGCAACCGTCCTGTGGTGTTCTTTGGACAACAGGATTATTAGAGCTGATGTTCCCAGACACAAAATAAATGGCAGGGACATCAAAAGAGACAGCATACTGCGGTACCTGGGAATCACCTTTGACAGAAGTTTGTCTTTCAAGAATCACATAGAAAGGGTTGTGACAAGGATGCCAAAAAGGTCTAAATGCACTAAAGATTATGGCAGCAATGGACATGGAGCAGAGAATGCTGTTCACACTTTACCAGCACTTAATCCTCCTAGTGATTTACTACCAATTGAGGTTACTCACAATGAAGCTATGCGACTGATCCTGGGATGTACATGAGACACCCAGACTGGGTGCATGCGATACATCCTTGAATTGCCGACTATTGCAGATAGGCTAAAGGTGCTGCAGGCTAAGTCATACCTCAGAGTAGCTGCAGACAGGAAACACTGTTTGAAGCTTTGGCTGCAGGTAAGGGTCAGAGGCTGAAAAGGGGACAATCGTGGCTGGCTCAAGCAGAAGACACAATAAGACAAGTACGCATGCTGAAGAACATTTGGCAAGGAGAGGAGTGGATCAGAGTACCAGCGGAAAAGTCTTAACCTTGTAGGATCATGATCACATTGAGCCGGGTGTGCAGAGAGTGGCCTGTGGGTGCTACAGAGGTGGAAGTAAAACAGTTGATTCATGACAATTCACGCCCAGGTGATCTGATTATCTATTCAGATGGTTCGGTGTTGAGAGGAAAGAGAAGTGCCTCTGGGTTTGTAGCAGTCAATGGAAAATCTTTAGTGCAAGACAGCCTAGCATATGAAACAACATCTAGCATGAGAATGGAGATGGAGGTGGTAACTGCAGCTCTCTAGTGGCTAAAGAACAAGATGCATATCTTGGTAATCTTAGTTTCAGCTTCATAGCAAACGAGTCACCCCATAGTTGCTCCGCTGTTTATCACAGTCCCTTGTGGAAAGATTGACAGACTGTTGTCTCCGCACATGCACTAGCATACTCACGCATTAGAAGCATACGGTAGCCATCAGAAGTGCTAACACAAACAGTCCGACATTAGAAATGCAGTTCATCATGATCATCGACGGTAGCAGAAGTTACCAACAGATCAGCAGTTGCACACGAGATTAATAGTAATCACATAAGGGCACCACCAATGTTGCGATAACAGGCCACACAACATTTTCTGAACCTTCAGTTTGCAACACCACGTTGCACAGTCGAAAAACATTCCAAATGAAATCCGCAGCTCACAGGGTCGTGCCATGTACTTAACTCAGCAGCTAGGCGACAAAACGATATCCTTTCAGTCTACAAATGGATCAAAAATGCAACAGCCACCATTTGGGAGAAGCAAAAAATTTGCCTCGCCGCGAAACAGTGACCGTGCCTAGCGTCCATTTTAACCACAAATCATATACATGTCATAACTGTAAACAGACTCTGAAAGCACTCTGAAAAAGGTGATGACAGGGATGCTTCAAGCAGAGTGGCAAGCTTCACTGTAAAGGTCACAAGTAATGAGCATACTTTGTATCTTTTCTTCAGGCTTTGCCGGCGTGGTGGGTAATGAACAGGCAGACAGATTAGCTGGATCTGCACCATTGGGTGGTGAATTGATACATGACAAGGCAGATGTGGTCAAGGCCCTTTAGGAACAAGCAACGGAATCAGTAGAGAAAGAAGATTATTATGGCCTGGAGATAATGAGGCACCTGGGGGTAATCAGAGGGTCTGGTCGGCTCACTACACTCAGAGGAAAGACGGACAAATAGCCAGATTGTGGCCGGTACCATCAGTATTGGAACTCTGTGCTGGCTGCTGAAGATGAGGACGGAGCATGCATGGGAATGCCGCGAGTGCTGCAATGTCAATTCTTGACTCAACTCAACTCAACAGGCATGCAAGGAAATAGGCAAGCTGACAGTCTTGCAGGTAAAGCTTGCATGTCAGGCGGATGTACCATGGACCATGCTGATATACTGAATGCTGTACGAGAAGTAAAACGTTGGAAAAAACCAAGTGATGACTGTAAATCTGCTACCATGACCAGACTGCAAGAACAACATGTTAAAAGGGGTGTGGCCAGACAAGAACTTTATGCAGAAAGCCAAAGAAGAAAAAGAAACCAACTCACGACTGGTGTCCTAAGCCATATCAACAGTTGTTTAAAAAATATATATATATATACATAAATAAAAAACAATATACTGAGAAGTGATCAGAGAATCACCAAAATGCACTGAAATGGGAAAAAAAAAGGGGGGGGGGGGGGGGGGAGGGGACACTGAACTGTAGAATGGGATCCAAAAGAAAACCCTAAAACACTGCCTGATGAGAGAGTGCTGGACTCAATTCCAGCTTGGTACTGAAACAATTATAGAGGAAATAACCAAATGAAAGAATAATCTGCGAGCCCTAGGTGACATAAAAGGGCACAGCAGATTTATGATAATGATGAGCACATAAAAGACAACATGATAATGTCATATTTTAAATAACCCATAAGTCTGTATGGCACTTAACAATAGTAGTAACAAACTTAACAAGATTATAGTCAGGAACAAATCAACTGACTACCTTTACAGTGTCTGTGATTTGGCATACAATTTGACAATGGTATAGAAGGCTAACGGTTCAGGAAGAAATGGCAAACTAGTGAACTTAAAACTGCCTAGTAACATCGCAAACAGAAAACAAAAATGTTACTGCTGATTGTGCAACACCTGGTCAAAGAGAGGCAACTGTTTGACTTGACTAACTGTGTGACTTGACTAACTGTGTGACTTGACTAACTGTGTGACTTGACTAACTGTGTGACTTGACTAACTGTTTGACTTGACTAACTGTTTGACTTGACTAACTGTTTGACTTGACTAACTGTGTGACTTGACTAACTGTTTGACTTGACTAACTGTTTGACTTGACTAACTGTGTGACTTGACTAACTGTTTGACTTGACTAACTGTGTGACTTGACTAACTGTTTGACTTGACTAACTGTTTGACTTGACTAACTGTTTGACTTGACTAACTGTGTGACTTGACTAACTGTGTGACTTGACTAACTGTGTGACTTGACTAACTGTGTGACTTGACTAACTGTTTGACTTGACTAACTGTGTGACTTGACTAACTGTGTGACTTGACTAACTGTGTGACTTGACTAACTGTTTGACTTGACTAACTGTGTGACTTGACTAACTGTGTGACTTGACTAACTGTGTGACTTGACTAACTGTGTGACTTGACTAACTGTTTGACTTGACTAACTGTTTGACTTGACTGTTTGACTTGACTAACTGTGTGACTTGACTAACTGTTTGACTTGACTAACTGTGTGACTTGACTAACTGTTTGACTTGACTAACTGTTTGACTTGACTAACTGTGTGACTTGACTAACTGTTTGACTTGACTAACTGTGTGACTTGACTAACTGTTTGACTTGACCAACCTTGATCAGACTGGCCCAGAGGATCAGCCACGTGGACAGTTAAACCCTCGACTGCTTCCTCTTCATTGTTGACATGGCCAGCACTAATGATGACCTGCTGCTCACCGTTCAACTGAATGCCAGCATCAAGAGAAGACTGAGGACAAACACATTCCTACATTCATTATCTTCAATTCAATTCAGTCAGTTGGCAATGATACAATGCTAGCTTGGTGTTACATGATCCTTTACCTTTCTGCCTGCCTGCAAAGTAGTCTACTCCTTTCTTATTTCAGACCATTTTGGGATTTGTTCATGTCTGCCCTGTGGCCAAGATTCCTACACAGTGTTTTGACATTATCTGATTAACTTCAGTCTCCAAATAACTATCCCACCCCAGAAATGGGAAAAGGGGGGGGGGGGGGGGGGGGGGGGGGGGGGGGGGAGCTTATTTTGTAAAATCTGCAATTGTACAATGTTAATTCTCATCTTTAGTTTTACTATACAGCATTAGTTTATACAATATCTACTTCGGTTTCACTACACAACACGGATTTATAACCCATCTGTTTTTATTATTCACAATACAGTGGTAATTCATACCCTGTCTGCTTGAGGTCCGCTACACAATATAATTCTTGCCTGGTCTACTAGAGTTTGGCTGCAAAGCACTGACTCTAACAAGCCTAAGGGCTCCATGTTTACTTCCCAGGGGCTCTGTTGCAGCTCCAGAAAAACAAATAGAAACTTCAATGAAATTAAAGATGAAGAAACAAAAAACAGCCAGCGGTCGCCACCAGAGAAACTGATTATAAAAAGGGCTCCATGAGCCAAAATAGTTGGTGATCCATTTGCTCCTCCAAATTGTACACATGCTCCCATTGGGCCTTGACCACATCTGATGTATCCTGCATCATTATTCCACCAAGTTGTGCAGAGTCAGCCAGTCTGTCCACCTGATCATTTCTCAACACACCAGCATTCCCTGGAAATCAGATCCAGACAATGCTGTCCACCTGTGACCTCTGAAGCCAAGCATGCCACTCTGCAGGAGTCAGTCACAATCATGTTGTGTGTGTATAGTGTTCTCTAGCCAGTGGAAAGCTGCAAGACTGTCTCCACCTCCCTTCTTGAGCTGGACGTTGTGGTATTATATGCTAGGCTCTCCTGCACCAAACATCAACTTTTGCAAGAATCCCCAAGCACTTTTTTTTTTCTCCTGACACTGAACAGGTGAGCATTATCCTGAATTAAATGCTAAAATGTCCATCTCTGTGGCACCTGCTGGCCACGCTCTGTGGCACCTGCTGGCCACTCTCTGTGGCACATGCTGCCCACTCTCTGTGGCACCTGCTGCCCACTCTCTGTGGCACCTGCTGCCCACTCTCTGTGGCACCTGCTGGCCACTCTCTGTGGCACCTGCTGGCCACTCTCTGTGGCACCTGCTGGCCAGTCGCTGCACTCCTGACTCAATGTGATTATGACTCTACACAAATCTGACTGTTCCAGTGGCACTTTGACCCACTCCTCTCCTCGCCTAATGTTCTCAAGGATGCAATCCTGTCTGATTATATCCTCTCCCTGAGCCATCCATGACTTCCTTCTTATCAACTGCTGACCCTTAACTGCGTCCAGCGCTTCGTGCAAAAGGCTATCTGTGTCTGCAGCTATGCTGAGGTAGACTTCACCTGCGGCACCTTGAGCCTACCTGCAACAGTCGACAAATCAGGGATGTATCACCCACACACTACTGGGATGTATTTGGTACTGTTACCCTTGAGAATATTCTGCAAACTTTCTGAGACTGAAGAGTTAAACAAACAGACTGACTATCATTTCACAAACATGCAGTTTGATAAACTATCAACTCACAGCCAAAGTCTGTACAATGATATGACCCCCGTCAGTGCTTAGAATACTTTGGGTGCCTTGACATGAGACAGCTTGAGACACCGAGCCTATGATTTGAGGTGTCCACTGCTGAAGGACCTCAAATGCCTGGAAGCCTTCATCATCAGAAGGACAATATGACAGTGACAGTGAGGTGCTGCCATCTACCCCAGCTGCAAGAAAACATCAACAGATCATCTCTGATACACTAAACAACCAGTGAGGTGCTGCCATCTACCCTAGCTGCAAGAAAACGTCAACAGATCATCTCTGATACAGTAAACAACACATGACTCATTTCTTGTTACTGAAAGAGTTGCGCCATTTCAGTTATTCAGACCTGAGTCTTGTTACTGAAAGAGTCGCGTCATTTCAGTTATTCAGACCTGAGTCTTGTTACTGAAAGAGTCGCGTCATTTCAGTTATTCAGACCTGAGTCTTGTTACTGAAAGAGTCGCGTCATTTCAGTTATTCAGACCTGAGTCTTGTTACTGAAAGAGTCGCGTCATTTCAGTTATTCAGACCTGAGTCTTGTTACTAAAAGAGTCGCGTCATTTCAGTTATTCAGACCTGAGTCTTGTTCTAGTTTTTAAAAAAAATGACAATGACACATGACTGTTACTATGGTTTTGTGATTCACCATAATCTGGGGGAAACTGTATCCTTGTCTTCCACCTCCATGGCTGACACATTCTTTAAATGGCTTAGTTTTAACAATGATATTCTTTCTTTTACTTTTCTAATCCTTTACTCATTGTAGGGACACTGTTGTGGTTTACAGTAAGGCTGCGATATCTCATTGTAGGGACACTGTTGTGGTTTACAGTACGGCTGCGATATCTCATTGTAGGGACACTGTTGTGGTTTACAGTACGGCTGCGATATCTCATTGTAGGGACACTGTTGTGGTTTACAGTACGGCTGCGATATCTCATTGTAGGGACACACTTGTGGTTTACAGTACGGCTGCGATATCTGCACCTTTCAGTCCAACACAACCAATTGAACCAAATCTCACAATAGTTTCCGTGACAACATGCTTGTTAGGGGCCAGTGGGTCAGTTCTCTTATTCGACAATTTTCATTGGTTACCTCAGTCAAATACTCACCCTTTCCCTTCCTCCCACCACCACCCCACCCGCCTGCGCATGCAAGCACGCACATAGGGCTTCAGAATCAAACTGACACCGGGATAGCACTAAAGCTGCTAATCTATACTCTTTCCTCTATGCCATATACCAGGGCCAAATAAGAGAACTGCATGTCACAAATGGATACTAAAATGTTTGATGTGAGATTGGCTGCTATGATAACCTGGAGAACACTTCCTGCACAATTCAACAACAACCCTTTGGGGCTGCACTGCCTACAGTTTCATCTTATCCTCGAGTGACTGCCCTTGGCATATCCCCGGATATTTATTTTAAAGGCCCCATGTGCCTCGCCAGACTATAGACATCGACCCGGCTGCCACAAGATACGAAGATAAGTGATATTATGTATTTGTGTAGTATTGTCTATTCTATGTATGTGCAGAAGAAAGCTCCATAGCCGCAATGTTGACATTTTGTTTGTGTTTGCTATATGGTAAAGCTCACTTGTGTACTTTTAAATCTGTCCTTGATATTTGTATTGCTTCACAGCAGTTCATTCAAGAGTTTAGAGGGAGCATTAACTCCGCCAGACATATCAGGGTCTTAGTGGCTATAGCAGTTTTTCCAAACCTAGGTCTTCCTGGATTCCCTTCCAATCCTGGGGCATCGAGAGCTTTGGGTTTATATATTATGAAATTTATTTTCGAGATAAAAAATTGAAATTCAAACCCCTCAGGCACTCTAACCTCTCGCCTCAAGAGCTCCAGGCACACACACAATTGAAATGGCATGATGATATTGTTATCAAACCTGCGGATAAGGGAGAGGCAGTGGTAGTCTGAAGAAAAGATTTATATGTGCAGGAAAGGGAGAGGCAACTCAGTGACCTCTGGTTTTATTAACTCCAGTCACAGATGGTACGACAAAAAACAACAAAATAGTAGAAAGTACTATCACCACCTTGATCAAGGACGATCTTCTACCTGCTTGGGCCAGCTCTTTATTTGTCAAGGATAGCCGTCTGGGAAGCCTGGCTTCTCTATGCTTCTCAAGATACATAAACCTGACAAACCAGGCAGACTGATCGTGTCCGCCTGCACTTGTCCTTCGGAACTCATATCCGGGTTCCTCGACTGTATCCTGCAGCCCCTGGTCGTTGGCCTTCTGTCTTACATCAAGGATACCAACCACGCTATGTCTGTCTTTGAATCCATCCGGTTCACCTCTTCCTCCAGGTACCACATCGTCACCTTAGATGTTACCTCCCTCCACACCTCTATTCCACACTCTGATGGGTTCCAGGCTTTGCGGTTCTTTCTAGATCGTAGAGTCAGCCCTGCTATAGCCACTGACCCCTTGATATGTCTGGCCAAGTAAGTGCTCACTCTAAACTCTTGCCAGTTTAATGACCACAACTTCAACCAAATCAGCGGCGCCGCTATGGGCACCAAGATGGGGCCTAGTTTTGCCTGCCTCTTTATGGACCACCTCGAGCATCAGATTCGTCATGCTTATACCGGTAGTCTCCCTGAGCTGTACAGGTTTATCGATGATTGTATCAGTGTCACTGATATGTCCCTACATGAATTGCAAAACGTCATTTATTTTTTCACCAACTTTCATCCCAGCATCGGTTGCACTTTCAGCAAACAAATAGACTATAATAACCATGCCGTCCCCATGTGGGATGCGATTTGAAGCCCCTCCATGGCTTTTGCCTGGGGGCCCTAAATATAGCCAGGTCATAAATATGGCCTAACAGCTGAACAGGGTTGCTGGGACCTCTCTACTGGTGATCCTCATCTGCATGGTGGCACTTTGTGTCACCAGGTGTTTTTGCTTTGTGTGATGCCCTGTTAGGGTACAACATACATATATAAATATGCAAATGTGGGAATTTTCTGTTTTGTTTTTGCCATGAAAATAAACAACACAGAATGTAAGAGAGAAAACACTTACTTGTCAGTGATATTGGAATACAGCCTTTAAATAATTCAGACGTGGCTACACTAACAACTCCGTCATCTTTTGGTTGACGAAGTCCCATTTTTGGCTTTAGATTCCAGTATATTAATCGTTTCATTTGATCCAACAATTCTGCTCATCATTTGGAGAAAAGAAAAGTAAAATAAGAATGAAAAATGGTCATCCCAAAGCAGTTTCTGTTGCAGGAGAGTAGATTTCATATGTATTTCAGAAAAGATTATGAAGATTGGTGACAATTCTCTTATTCAACATTTTTTAGTTTTTCAAACTCACTCAAAGGTGACTAAAACTGCAAATAAAGACAAAACTGCAAATAAAGACAAAACTGAAAATAAAGACAAAACTGCAAATAAAGACAAGCAACAAAAAAATCCATGAACTCAATTCCCCCAAATGATGCTGCCCAAATTCTTGTCTACAATAGCCAAGAATACTCCATGCCAAAACTGGCTTTAACAGCTATCTACACCCTCAAAATCCCACTTTACAGCTAAAGGGTGACAGGACTGGTCATCAACACTTTACAGCTAAAGGGTGACAGGACTGGTCATCAACACTTTACAGCTAAAGGGTGACAGGACTGGTCATCAACACTTTACAGCTAAAGGGTGACAGGACTGGTCATCAACACTTTACAGCTAAAGAGTGACAGGACTGGTCATCAGCACTTTACAGCTAGAGGGTGACAGGACTGGTCATCAACACTTTACAGCTAGAGGGTGACAGGACTGGTCATCAACACTTTACAGCTAAAGGGTGACAGGACTGGTCATCAACACTTTACAGCTAGAGGGTGACAGGATTGGTCATCAACACTTTACAGCTAGAGGGTGACAGGATTGGTCATCAACACTTTACAGATAGAGGGTGACAGGATTGGTCATCAACACTTTACAGCTAGAGGGTGACAGGACTGGTCATCAACACTTTACAGCTAGAGAGTGACAGGGCTGGTCATCAACACTTTACAGCTAAAGGGTGACAGGACTGGTCATCAACACTTTACAGCTAGAGGGTGACAGGACTGGTCATCAACACTTTACAGCTAGAGGGTGACAGGACTGGTCATCAACACTTTACAGCTAAAGGGTGACAGGACTGGTCATCAACACTTTACAGCTAGAGGGTGACAGGATTGGTCATCAACACTTTACAGCTAGAGGGTGACAGGATTGGTCATTAATACTTTACAGCTAGAGGGTGACAGGATTGGTCATCAACACTTTACAGCTAGAGGGTGACAGGACTGGTCATCAACACTTTACAGCTAGAGAGTGACAGGGCTGGTCATCAACACTTTACAGCTAGAGGGTGACAGGACTGGTCATCAACACTTTACAGCTAGAGGGTGACAGGATTGGTCATCAACACTTTACAGCTAAAGGGTGACAGGACTGGTCATCAACACTTTACAGATAGAGGGTGACAGGATTGGTCATCAACACTTTACAGCTAGAGGGTGACAGGACTGGTCATCAACACTTTACAGCTAGAGAGTGACAGGGCTGGTCATCAACACTTTACAGCTAAAGGGTGACAGGACTGGTCATCAACACTTTACAGCTAGAGGGTGACAGGACTGGTCATCAACACTTTACAGCTAGAGGGTGACAGGACTGGTCATCAACACTTTACAGCTAAAGGGTGACAGGACTGGTCATCAACACTTTACAGCTAGAGGGTGACAGGATTGGTCATCAACACTTTACAGCTAGAGGGTGACAGGATTGGTCATCAATACTTTACAGCTAGAGGGTGACAGGATTGGTCATCAACACTTTACAGCTAGAGGGTGACAGGACTGGTCATCAACACTTTACAGCTAGAGAGTGACAGGGCTGGTCATCAACACTTTACAGCTAGAGGGTGACAGGACTGGTCATCAACACTTTACAGCTAGAGGGTGACAGGATTGGTCATCAACACTTTACAGCTAAAGGGTGACAGGACTGGTCATCAACACTTTACAGCTAAAGGGTGACAGGACTGGTCATCAACACTTTACAGCTAGAGAGTGACAGGACTGGTCATCAACACTTTACAGCTAGAGGGTGACAGGACTGGTCATCAACACTTTACAGCTAGAGGGTGACAGGACTGGTCATCAACACTTTACAGCTAGAGGGTGACAGGACTGGTCATCAACACTTTACAGCTAGAGGGTGACAGGACTGGTCATCAACACTTTACAGCTAGAGGGTGACAGGACTGGTCATCAACACTTTACAGCTAGAGGGTGACAGGACTGGTCATCAACACTTTACAGCTAGAGGGTGACAGGACTGGTCATCAACACTTTACAGCTAGAGGGTGACAGGACTGGTCATCAACACTTTACAGCTAGAGGGTGACAGGACTGGTCATCAACACTTTACAGCTAGAGGGTGACAGGACTGGTCATCAACACTTCACAGCTAAAGGGTGACAGGATTGGTCATCAACACTTTACAGCTAAAGGGTGACAGGACTGGTCATCAACACTTTACAGTTAAAGGGTGACAGGATTGGTCATCAACACTTTACAGCTAGAGGGTGACAGGACTGGTCATCAACACTTTACAGCTAGAGGGTGACAGGACTGGTCATCAACACTTTACAGCTAGAGGGTGACAGGACTGGTCATCAACACTTTACAGCTAAAGGGTGACAGGACTGGTCATCAACACTTTACAGCTAAAGGGTGACAGGATTGGTCATCAACACTTTACAGCTAGAGGGTGACAGGACTGGTCATCAACACTTTACAGCTAAAGGGTGACAGGACTGGTCATCAACACTTTACAGCTAAAGGGTGACAGGACTGGTCATCAACACTTTACAGCTAAAGGGTGACAGGACTGGTCATCAACACTTTACAGCTAAAGGGTGACAGGATTGGTCATCAACACTTTACAGCTAGAGGGTGACAGGACTGGTCATCAACACTTTACAGCTAGAGGGTGACAGGACTGGTCATCAACACTTTACAGCTAGAGGGTGACAGAACTGGTCATCAACACTTTACAGCTAAAGGGTGACAGAACTGGTCATCAACACTTTACAGCTAAAGGGTGACAGGATTGGTCATCAACACTTTACAGCTAGAGGGTGACAGGACTGGTCATCAACACTTTACAGCTAGAGGGTGACAGGACTGGTCATCAACACTTTACAGCTAGAGGGTGACAGAACTGGTCATCAACACTTTACAGCTAAAGGGTGACAGAACTGGTCATCAACACTTTACAGCTAGAGGGTGACAGGACTGGTCATCAACACTTTACAGCTAGAGTGTGACAGGACTGGTCATCAACACTTTACAGCTAAAGGGTGACAGAACTGGTCATCAACACTTTACAGCTAAAGGGTGACAGGATTGGTCATCAACACTTTACAGCTAAAGGGTGACAGGACTGGTCATCAACACTTTACAGCTAAAGGGTGACAGGATTCGTCATCAACACTTTACAGCTAGAGGGTGACAGGACTGGTCATCAACACTTTACAGCAAGAGGGTGACAGGATTCGTCATCAACACTTTACAGCTAGAGGGTGACAGGACTGGTCATCAACACTTTACAGCTAGAGGGTGACAGGACTGGTCATCAACACTTTACAGCTAGAGGGTGACAGGACTGGTCATCAACACTTTACAGCTAAAGGGTGACAGGACTGGTCATCAACACTTTACAGCTAAAGGGTGACAGGACTGGTCATCAACACTTTACAGCTAAAGGGTGACAGGACTGGTCATCAACACTTTACAGCTAGAGGGTGACAGGACTGGTCATCAACACTTTACAGCTAGAGGGTGACAGGACTGGTCATCAACACTTTACAGCTAAAGGGTGACAGGACTGGTCATCAACACTTTACAGCTAGAGGGTGACAGGATTGGTCATCAACACTTTACAGCTAGAGGGTGACAGGACTGGTCATCAACACTTTACAGCTAAAGGGTGACAGGACTGGTCATCAACACTTTACAGCTAGAGGGTGACAGGGCTGGTCATCAACACTTTACAGCTAGAGGGTGACAGGACTGGTCATCAACACTTTACAGCTAAAGGGTGACAGGACTGGTCATCAACACTTTACAGCTAGAGGGTGACAGGATTGGTCATCAACACTTTACAGCTAAAGGGTGACAGGACTGGTCATCAACACTTTACAGCTAAAGGGTGACAGGACTGGTCATCAACACTTTACAGCTAAAGGGTGACAGGACTGGTCAACAACACTTTACAGCTAGAGGGTGACAGGATTGGTCATCAACACTTTACAGCTAGAGGGTGACAGGATTGGTCATCAACACTTTACAGCTAGAGGGTGACAGGACTGGTCATCAACACTTTACAGCTAGAGGGTGACAGGATTGGTCATCAACACTTTACAGCTAAAGGGTGACAGGACTGGTCATCAAGACTTTACAGCTAGAGGGTGACAGGACTGGTCATCAACACTTGGGATGCACCACCAGCAACAACAAAGTCAGGTAAGTTTTCTGAAACCTCAAAACAAATCCAGGTGATGACCTAATTAGTTTGTTTTAGTTGATGACATTAAACCAATTCAAATATTCTATGCTATTGTATCTTCTTGTCTATTCCAGTGATGTAAACCTTGTCTCATATATTACATGCTATTGCATCTTCTTGTCTATTCCAGTGATGTAAAACTGTCTCATACATTACATGCTATTGCATCTTCGTGTCTATTCCAGTGATGTAAAACTGTCTCATATATTACATTATATTGTATCTTCTTGTCTATTCCAGTGATGTAAACCTTGTCTCATACATTACATGCTATTGCATCTTCTTGTCTATTCCAGTGATGTAAAACTGTCTCATACATTACATGCTATTGCATCTTCTTGTCTATTCCAGTGATGTAAAACTGTCTCATATATTACATGCTATTGTATCTTCTTGTCTATTCCAGTGATGTAAACCTTGTCTCATACATTACATGCTATTGCATCTTCTTGTCTATTCTAGTGATGTAAAACTGTCTCATACATTACATGCTATTGTATCTTCTTGTCTATTCCAGTGATGTAAACCTTGTCTCATACATTACATGCTATTGCATCTTCTTGTCTATTCCAGTGATGTAAAACTGTCTCATACATTACATGCTATTGCATCTTCTTGTCTATTCCAGTGATGTAAAACTGTCTCATATATTACATGCTATTGCATCTTCTTGTCTATTCCAGTGATGTAAACCTTGTCTCATATATTACATGCTATTGTATCTTCTTGTCTATTCCAGTGATGTAAAACTGTCTCATATATTACATGCTATTGCATCTTCTTGTCTATTCCAGTGATGTAAAACTGTCTCATATATTACATGCTATTGCATCTTCTTGTCTATTCCAGTGATGTAAAACTGTCTCATATATTACATGCTATTGTATCTTCTTGTCTATTCCAGTGATGTAAAACTGTCTCATATATTACATGCTATTGTATCTTCTTATCTATTCCAGTGATGTAAAACTGTCTCATACATTACATGCTATTGCATCTTCTTGTCTATTCCAGTGATGTAAAACTGTCTCATACATTACATGCTATTGCATCTTCTTGTCTATTCCAGTGATGTAAAACTGTCTCATACATTACATGCTATTGCATCTTCTTGTCTATTCCAGTGATGTAAAACTTGTCTCATATATTACATGCTATTGCATCTTCTTGTCTATTCCAGTGATGTAAAACTGTCTCATACATTACATGCTATTGCATCTTCCAGTGATGTAAAACTGTCTCATACATTACATGCTATTGTATCTTCTTATCTATTCCAGTGATGTAAAACTGTCTCATACATTACATGCTATTGCATCTTCTTGTCTATTCCAGTGATGTAAAACTGTCTCATACATTACATGCTATTGCATCTTCTTGTCTATTCCAGTGATGTAAAACTGTCTCATACATTACATGCTATTGCATCTTCTTGTCTATTCCAGTGATGTAAAACTTGTCTCATATATTACATGCTATTGCATCTTCTTGTCTATTCCAGTGATGTAAAACTGTCTCATACATTACATGCTATTGCATCTTCTTGTCTATTCCAGTGATGTAAAACTTGTCTCATAAATTACATGCTATTGCATCTTCTTGTCTATTCCAGTGATGTAAAACTGTCTCATACATTACATGCTATTGCATCTTCCAGTGATGTAAAACTGTCTCATACATTACATGCTATTGTATCTTCTTGTCTATTCCAGTGATGTAAAACTGTCTCATACATTACATGCTATTGTATCTTCTTGTCTATTCCAGTGATGTGAAACTGTCTCATATATTACATGCTACTGTACCTTCTTGTCTATTCCAGTGATGTAAAACTGTCTCATATATTACATGCTATTGTATCTTCTTGTCTATTCCAGTGATGTAAAACTGTCTCATATATTACATGCTATTGTACCTTCTTGTCTATTCCAGTGATGTGAAACTGTCTCATATATTACATGCTACTGTACCTTCTTGTCTATTCCAGTGATGTAAAACTGTCTCATATATTACATGCTATTGTATCTTCTTGTCTATTCCAGTGATGTAAAACTGTCTCATATATTACATGCTATTGTACCTTCTTGTCTATTCCAGTGATGTGAAACTGTCTCATATATTACATGCTAATGTATCTTCTTGTCTATTCCAGTGATGTAAAACTGTCTCATATATTACATACTATTGTATCTTCTTGTCTATTCCAGTGATGTAAACCTTGTCTCATACATTACATGCTAATGTACCTTCTTGTCTATTCCAGGGATGTAAAACTGTCTCATATATTACATTATATTGTACCTTCTTGTCTATTCCAGTGATGTGAAACTGTCTCATATATTACATGCTATTGTATCTTCTTGTCTATTCCAGTGATGTAAAAACTGTCTCATATATTTATAATCTGTCTGATAATCTTCTTGATTCTGTGAATGTAACTGACTCATGTAGGTTCTGTTCAACATCTATTGAAAAAGACACAATAGCAACTCTATCGACCACTTTGTGGGGCAGTGTAGGGCAGGAAATCTGAAGCCTTGGGATTTAGGGCTGTCCGTCTATCAGAGTTGCCACAAGCTGTGCAAGTCAGCATCTGTATTTGTTCCCCCAACCTAAAACACTCACAAGATTCTGAAGATTCAGCTAGCCTATTCAGCATCTACTAGTGAATAGTTAATCTTTCTAGCTTTTAGCACTGTAACTTTACCCAACATTGCCTATAAATATTCAAGATAATATCTAAAAAATGTGAGTTACATATGCTCTTTACCTTTATAGCTTAATTTGTTGTAATCTGTAATATGCCGTTTCAAAGCCCACCATTTGCCCCGAAGCCACTGTGGTGATCGTACACTGTTGACAGAACAACATCATGACAGTTCAATGAAAGTTTCTTCTTCTTGTGATTGTGTCCCTGATTTACACAGACAGATGAGTGCTTATGCTTTTCTCTTCTTTTTAGTTTCCCTTTATTTCCAAACAACTTTGAGTATGAGGTGACTCACTGGGCCAGATTCCCTTCTTAAAAGACTGTATAAGAAACAGTCTTACAGGACATGTTCATGTTCTGTGCTTTGTACTCACAGCCCATTTGGACAAAGTGGTGAACTACTCAGAGGAAGCCTGTAGATATTCTTGTTAATTTTGTTATGCCTTGTCCTGAGGCGTAGAATGATGACCTTGTCCTGAGGGGTAGAATGATGACCTTGTCCTGAGGTGTATAATGATGACCTTGTCCTGAGGCATAGAATAATGACCTTGTCCTGAGGCGTATAATGATGACCTTGTCCTGAGGTGTAGAATGATGAACTTGTCCTGAGGTGTAGAATAATGACCTTGTCCTGAGGCATAGAATGATGACCTTGTCCTGAGGGGTAGAATGATGACCTTGTCCTGAGGTGTAGAATAATGACCTTGTCCTGAGGTGTATAATGATGACCTTGTCCTGAGGCATAGAATGATGACCTTGTCCTGAGGCGTATAATGATGACCTTGTCCTGAGGTGTAGAATGATGAACTTGTCCTGTGGTGTAGAATAATGACCTTGTCCTGAGGCATAGAATGATGACCTTGTCCTGAGGCGTATAATGATGACCTTGTCCTGAGGTGTAGAATGATGACCTTGTCCTGAGGTGTAGAATAATGACCTTGTCCTGAGGCATAGAATGATGACCTTGTCCTGAGGGGTAGAATAATGACCTTGTCCTGAGGCATAGAATGATGACCTTGTCCTGAGGGGTAGAATGATGACCTGTCCATGTCGGTGAGTGGTAGCCATCACTGGCCTGATTGTGTTGACTTCTGACAGACTGGATGGCTCTTTTTTCTAAAAGTATGTTACATCACTATCTTCCTGTTGATATTCTCCTCCTTTCTAAGCAAGTTTATCTCCAGTTTTATTTTCCGGTATACCAGAGTGAGACAGCAGCCACTGAAGTACAGTAACTTTCTGGAAACTGCTTGGCTAAGTTCAGCTCTCAGGTGAGGGAGTTTACCACTCTTGAGGGCAAGTACCATTCTTAGGGTTTGCAGAAACAACAGTGCAGCCATGAAGATGGACTTGGTGGCAGACAGAATTGCTGTTGTCAATGAATAATTATAATGAATGTTTAAAAAAAAAGGACAGAGGCAGATAATAAAAAGTTGTTGCAGATAAGTTATGATGTTTGTTGGTAATTATACATATGTACTGTGAACATGCTTGTGCTGTCCTTTTTGTTCGTGGGTATCTGGGAAAGGCCATAGAAAAAACTTAGAGAATATTCAAGAGGGAAAACTTTAAAACAAAAACAGCAGAACATGTTGATCAATAAAATCTGGAACAATACAAAAGAAAGACCAGATTGGACTGATGTTGACAGGACAATCAGATGTCTCAGCCACGTACCTTGCCCAGTCTTGTGATAAAGCCACCCAGTCAATTTCTGAATCGTTGTTGACATCCATTTTAGAAACCCTTAAATACAGATACAAGAACCTGCTATTAGTTTTGCCAGTTTTAGTGAAAATGAATGATAACAGTCTGTTACGAGATGTATATGCATCTTGTTCTTTAGCCACCGGAGAGCTGCCTCCATCTTCATTTTCATGCTAGATGTGTCATATGCTAGGCTGTCTTGCACTAAAGATTTTCCATTGGCTTTTGCTACAAACCCCCAGGCACTTCTCGTACCTTTTACCACCAAACCAACCACCTGTATAGATAATCAGATCTCATGGGTGTGAATTGTCGTGAATCAACTGTTGGACTTTTTCTAAGCCATCCATTTTTGTACGCACAGCAACCCCCCCCCCCCCCCCCCCCCCAAGCAATCTCTAAAACAAACCAGTTCCATCAGCATCCAACACATCAGTTGAATGATACCTTACTCACGGCTGATTTCAACACCTCCTCTGTACATGAGTTGGTAGTCATTTCACTGACAGAATACCTTTCCCAAGTTGTGCATGTTTGTTTTGTTTTTTAAAGAAAACTGAACATGATTATCTACAAAGCTTTAAGTCATGAATTATGAGTTATAACTCATAAGCATTGTAGGTAAAGTGTCATTTTCTAAAACAAGCCAGGCAAACATTTCCAGCTAGTCCCATCTTCCACAATTGCTAACTCATTTGCCTTTTGCACTGGAAACAGGTCTACTTACATTCAATGTTTGCTGATGTCACCATGGTGACGTGCTGTATAAACCACTACTGCTTTCCCTGTGTGACAATCAACTTGTCCAATATCAAACATTTTTTTCTGTACTTATTTTTTTGTTGTTGATGATTTCTGAGAGCGTTGATTTTTTAATGTTAAATTATTTCTCTATTTGCATTTTCTTTTTGCCACTTTTTTGCACTCCATGCAATAGTTCAGTATTTCAAAGGTATTGATTTTAACTCTCCAGTTGCCCGGCTCTCTAGCGTAATTGGCTAAACCGGATTGCGCGGTGACCAGGTGAAGAACTCCTTGTGGTCCGGGTTCACTCCCGGGGGTAGGCAGAAAAGCCACATTTCTCCCAGATGTACGGTTTTCACAATGGAATCAAGGCCAAAAGGTTGCGATATCCATAATACCGAGCCTAAGGGTTAACAACTCATGGCTTCTGGATACTAAAACAAACAAACAAACAAACTCTCCAGTCATTTTTAGAGGAGAAACAACTAAAATTCTAAACGGTGACAAATCGCACAATTTCCTAAACAAAGAAAAATGTGTAAAGATGTCCTGGTATTTAAAACAAGTTCTCTTAGGCAGATCAAATTATAGTCAGTACATGGTTTCGCATATCCAAAAATTGTCCATAAACAAATTTGACACAAGTGGACACTATTTAAAAAAATTGCAGGAAATAAACAAATTGTTCTTCAGAACAGAAATTCACCATATCTGCACTTTATTTAAATTTAGCACATCCAGCCAGCACTGTATTTAAATTCACCACATCCAGCCTGCACTGTATTCAAATTCACCACATCCAGCCTGCACTGTATTCAAATTCACATCCAGCCTGCACTGTATTTAATTCTTGACTAGACTTGTCAAAGGTACCAGAAATTATCTGTATGTTTGATATATGTTGTTCATCCATCACAAGTGATGACACCTGTCCTTTCATCCAGTGCTGACTAGGCTAGGTTTTCATGGCTAATAAGGCCAATTCTAGCACTGGAAGTTCTTAGCAATGTGGACAGGGAATAGAAGCCGCATCTCTCTGGTGATTTGCTTCAGTGTCTTTCCTGGCTTGTCTTTTCTGAATTACAGCTGCAGTTCTAGCAACTTCATTGGCCACAGCTTCTCGATGAATAAAGGCGCACCAGGATGAGCGGTCACGTGCAGCGACTTCCTAAGTTTTAGGATCGGTACAGAAGTCTTTCAGTGAAGTACTTTAATCATCATCATTACCATGAACCACTTCTTCTGTTAAGCGTTGTGGGGAGGAATAATTTGCGATCTAGTGCAGGCTGGCTGCCTCTGGCTATTGTCATTCCGGTAGTTCAGTATGAACATTAGTAAACCTAAGGTCAAAAGTTGTATACTTTTCTATGAGGATGGTATCATCTTCTCTGGTCCAGTCTGCTCCTCCTTGCTGCTTCCAGTTGAGATAGTTGAGCCATTTGGTGCGACACTGTTTCTCAGATCTGGTTCCCACATGTTCTGCAACACTTGCCCATGATAGACCAGATGTCACACTTTCAGCTGCAGATATAAGTATAATATAATTCAACATTTACATGACAAGTATTAGATTGTGGGCAAGACCTCACACTTTTAGCTGCAGATATAATTCAACATTTACATGACAAGTATTAGATTGTGGCCAAGCTGGGGGTATTCAAACTTGTGGCACAGGTTCACAGTCCCAGCATGACCAAAGCTTTATCTCAAGTAAATGTGGTTTTTTAGAAATAGACCAAATTTTCCCCTACACGCATGTCGTAAAAGATGACTAATCAGGGTTTCACTTCAACTGGATGTGTTATTTCCAAAAGTACAGATATCCTAGCATAGGTGTAAACAACAACACACTGTGTAAAAAATCCCTTTAAGGGTAAATGAAGGGTAACGCAAAAAAACATCAATATGTATGCTGTAGCATGCTAGTCTAGGTTTGAGAGATTCCAGGGATGCATGACTGTTATATAAAGGTGTATATAAAGCTGCAAGACAGCCTCATGAGACCCTACTTCAAGAGATGCAATTATACACACATCTAGGAAGCAACTCTGTATACAAAGATGCGGAAACAATAGACACATGGATACAAATGTGAATGCATTAGGAAATCTATGGAATTCAATTATTATTGAAAAAACACTAAAATCAAATCATTACTGCAGTACGGAGCAAAGATATAGCCAACGACTACAATAATCACTAACAAACAACAAACATTCATTAACTATTGCCCACATAACATTGTCACAATGATACCAGAATTACCACTGTGAAAAAACCTCATTCTGCAAAAGCAAAACTAGAATATCTTTTCACTAGAAACTATAAGGTAAAAAACAGTGGGGAAACCTAAAGACATAAGTGATATAGAGCTAAAAAAAAAACTGCAAAAGATACGAAGATGGTGCAAGTTGCTGTAAATAATAAAAAGGTAGAAGAGGAGAACATATTTGATTACAACAAAAGACTATTACATCTAAGACCCCCCCCCCCCCCCCCCCCCCCCCCTTACCAGACACCTGCAACAGGATTTAAATCTTGCAATGGAATTTTTGTTTTTCAACATAACAAGATTGACTTCAGGGATCTTCTGAACGTTTTTGGCTGTAAATTGGCAGAAAGTTTTGGTTATTCATTCCCTTCTGGACTCTGATCTGGCTACAGAACTAGAGTTGTGCATGCACATATGTTTTACAGACTTTGCTTGTTTGTATGCAGACTGTTAGTTCCTTGCCTCCTTTCAGAGGCAGTCTGATTGAAGAAACACCCCCTTATTAGTCAGCTTTTATCTTCTTCCTCTTTGTGTTCACCGGTTGTAAACTCCAGCGGAAAATTATGGTTGTTCGTCCACCTCTAGACTTTAGTCTTGTTACAGAACTTGAGCGTTGTATGCACATCCATTTTACAGACTTGACTTATTTGTAAGCAGGCTGTTGGTTCCTTGCCTCCCAGGCAGATGCCCCACAGTTAGTAGACTCTTATGACATGCCTGTTGGGGAGGCAGTGGGTCTAGTCTTGTTTTCCCCATAACTGGGCCCTAGAACCCACACAGGGAGTCACCTTTGATGACATCCTTGTTATGGGGGAGGGGGGATTGTGGGCAATGCCTTAGATTTCCTTAGAAAACACCAGGCAAAATAGCTCAGTCATCTAACACTGCTGTCAACAGCATACCCCAATGAGCAATATATACACCAAGTAAAAATCAGATGAAAATGTAACCATGTAAACAGTAGACTGATGGACTAAGACAGTCCCAAGCAACAGCAGAATACAAAGGTCAGACATAAGGCAGTCGCTGGTTTATGCCTCACATTGACACTGCAAGGTTTATCCTCACCAAAGCTAGGGAGTTGATGCTGCCCTGCTGAGATCTAACACACCAACATGTACAAGGTACCCAAGGAGGAGATGACAGTTTAGTAGAAGGTGACGCATGGAATGCTCAATGTGCAATGAAGTTGACTGTGATAACACAACTGAAAGATTCAAGAGAAACAAAATGAGAGATCAGAGGAATAAATACTTCACATAATTCTTTGATAAACAAACCAACAGCTTATAAACTTACAAGGCTTGATTCCAGTGAGTTGATACACAGCTGCTGCAAGTCTGGCCTCTTCCTCTGGATACCATTTTCCTGATTTAAAATAACATGGTAATGTATTATTAATGGAACATATTTTACACAATGGACAATGGTGATGTATTATTGATGGAACATATTTTACACAATGGACAATGGTGATGTATTACTGATGGAACATATTTTACACAATGGACAATGGTGATGTATTATTGATGGAACATATTTTACACAATGGACAATGGTGATGTATTATTGATGGAACATATTTTACACAATGGACAATGCTGATGTATTATTGATGGAACATATTTTACACAATGGACAATGGTGATGTATTACTGATGGAACATATTTTACACAATGGACAATGGTGATGTATTTTTAATGGAACATATTTTACACAATGGACAATGGTGATGGGAAGACAGAAAGACAATTTAGAAATAAAATTTAAAAACATCACCTTAAGACAAACAGAGGAATTCAAGTATTTGGTAGCAATTTTCACATCTGACAGACAAACTGGACAGAGAAATTAGCTCGAGATGTGCCAAAGCTAATCAAGTAATGGGGCAACAATCTCCCCTGTTGACACACAAGCAGATACACAAGAGTACTAAAGTGAATCTTATCAGAATTATTTTTTGGCCAACACTATGTTATCAATGCCAAACATAGACACTTACATCATTCAATGAACGTAAAATTATGACAACAGAGATTAAATGCCTTAGAAGAGCTGCAGGAGTTTCCAGGAAAGGCAGAATACGAAATCATGAAATCAGATGAATGCTAGGAATAAAGCCAGTCTTACAGGTCATCAAAGAACAACAAATGAAGTGGTGTGGACACCTAACAAGAAAGCCCTGGTACTATCTGCCACAGCGAGCCACACTGAAATGTTACCACAGGTACAGGGTGAGCGGAAGACCTTGGAAAAGATTGGAGTGATGGCATTAAGAACAGCCTTACAGAAAAGACATTACAGAAATCAATCTTGATGAACATCAATCTTAATAGGGCTCTTGACAGAGATAATCAACAAATGTTACATCTTCCAACAACACTTTGCTGAGGTACAAGGTGGAAGAGAAGAAGAAGAAGAAGAATATTTAACACAAAAATTTAAAAGCATATACTGGCAACAAAAAGCAGCCGTAAAAATGTTAAACAAGGCGTTAGACAGGGGATGTGTACTATCACTCAATTTATTCGATTTGTACAGTGAAAAAATAATTAGATCCATTCATGGTATGCCAGGAATATTGGTTGGTAGGCAAATTGTTAACAACCTGTGATATGTTGATGATAGAGTTTTGATTGCTGAAAATGACACAGCTGCAAGAAATGATAAGATAAAACAAGACAACCTGTGATATGTTGATGATAGAGTTTTGATTGCTGAAAATGACACACAGCTGCAAGAAATGATAAGATAAAACAAGACAACCTGTGATATGTTGATGATAGAGTTTTGATTGCTGAAAATGACACACAGCTGCAAGAAATGATAAGATAAAACCAGGGTCTTAGTTTGAACAGCAGAAAAACAGAAGTCATGGTAATTACAGACAGCTGACTCTCCAAAATGCAACATCAAAGTCAATCTGACAAATCTCAAGCAAACTGATGTATTTAGGTGTCTGGGTACCCTGATACCATCAGATGCAAGAAGTCTCCTCAAATTAAACAAAGTGCTATCTGTACAGTAATTTATTTAAATAAATTCCTGAATCATCATTGTCAAATGCATTGACAAGCATTGCAGCAAATGTCATAATGAACAAGGTTGGTGCAAGCATTCATCCCTGCTTTATGTACATTTGAGACAGGGAAAGGGTCCAATAATTTTCCCTTTTCCAGCACTCTGGTCTGCATACCTTCAAGGAGCTGCTGTAGAATCCTAAAAAACTTCTGAGGACAGCAAAATTTGGCCATGATTTCCCACAGTCTTCCTCTGCTGACTGTATCAAAGGCCTTTGTGAGGCCCTCTGCTGACTGTATCAAAGGCCTTTGTGAGGTCCTCTGCTGACTGTATCAAAGGCCTTTGTGAGGTCCTCTGCTGACTGTATCAAAGGCCTTTGTGAGGCCCATAAAGGTAGAACAGAGGTCGCAGTTTTGTTCTTGACACTTTTCCTGGAGCTGGCGGGCAGCAAAAATCATCTCAATGGTCCCTCGCTCCATTCGGAAACCAGGTCTTGATCAAGATGCACTGTAAGACGGTTTAAGAAAATTATAGCAAGGACTTTACCAGCAACAGATAGTAGAGATTCCACGGTGATTGTCACATAGCTGGTGGTTTCCTTTATGTTTGCACTAGTGTATGATTGTTACATTCTGGAAGTCTTGTGGAAGTATTTTTTGCTGCCATATAAATGGGAATATTTGGTATAGTTTCTCAGTGAGGACTCTGTGGAAACTTGTGTGGGTATCGCATCAAGACCAGGAGCTTTACCACTAGACAGCTGATCAATGGCTTACTAGAGTGGTGTAGAGGATAAACTATGTGTGTTTACCACTTACTAGAGTGGTGTAGAGGATAAACTTGGTCTCTAGAAGAGTTGGTGTTTTATCTAGGGCTCCATTCAAAGGGACCTGGGGCAAGCTGTTAAAGCTTCTTCGTTTATGGATGAATGTAGGTGATGAATGTAAATGGATTAAAAGTGACTTGCGCAAAGACTTAGATTTAAGTGAGGAAGAGTTACGCAATGCGTCAAACTCATTCTCTCACCTGTATCCATCTAGATACAATGGCAGGACAATGTCAAGACGTTTGGAAATTAACCTTTGCATGCAGGGTAGGCATATCCCAATCAACAAGTGTTTTATAACCAGGTCGGCTACCCTTTTCTGGTTTAGCCATCCCGTCAAAGCTGCTGCTCGGGGGGTGGACGCTGTCACATGCTGACAGCTGCTGGAAGCCAGGAGAGAGCTGAGTGCCAGACGTAGCCCAGTGGTGGTGAACTGCCCTAAGAAGGACATGATGGTCACCTTGCCAGAGGCACTACTAGGCTACAGCGAATGATAATTACAGTGGTGTTGATGACAACAATGATGAGCACCTGAGTTACAGTTGTCTTTCATCAGCCGACATTTATCTTTGACAGACGATGCACTCCTCCCTAGTGCTCCGCCTATGGCTGCCCAGTCATTACCATGCTTGGCTCTCAGACTGTTGTATGGAAAAATCAAAAGAAGTAATGGAAGGACATGATTCAAACATGCAAAAACAAAGCTATAGTACTAAAACTATGGTAAATATATTGACCTTAATTATGCTGATGACGATGTCTTGATAGGGATAAGTCAGAAAGAACTACAGAGATTCGTTGATCATTGATACAGTGGTGCTAGAAAATCATCAAATGAGCCTCGGCTTGAATAATGGGAAGATAGAAGTTATGGTTGTATCCACATACAAAAAGAATAGTGCCTAAATGTATAACCGTCAAAAGCGTTATTTAAGGCCAAGTACAGAAATTTAACTATCTAGGCACATGGATAACATCCGATGGAAGATATACTGCAGAGATAAAGAACAGAATAGGACAGGCTAAAACTGCAATTTATAAATTGAAGAACATTTTATGGCAATGAATGTCAATGGAGATGAGATCAAGAATTCATGCAGACTAGTTTTCACATACAACTGTGGATCTTGGACAATTGATAAACAATGCAAACAATTTCTTGAGATCTCGGTTTTATAGAAGAATCCTTAGAATTCCTTGGAAAACCAAAAAGAGCAACCCAGATGTTTTGAAAGAGGCAAGCGCTTGAAGATAACCTCACAAACATCAGAAAGAGACAGTCATCCTTTTTTTGGTCATGTTATGAACAGCGAGAAACTTGAACATGTTGTGACTACTGCAAAGATCTGTGGAAGAGAGACAAGGGAAGACAAGGCGAGATGATTCTTTACAGCCTCTTGTCACGGTATGGTGGGGTGTCAATACATTCTGTTGAAGATTACAGACTGTGGAGAGGCATGATGCCCTGAGGCCCATAAAGGTGATCTCAAACCTCAGAAACACTGCAGAGGTTTCAACACAAAGGTCACGCTGTCAGGCTAGCTATTCCAGTTTCAAGAGTTCAAAAGTCTCTTGAAAGTATCTTATCTACGGGCACTTATTGTGTTGTCCTTACAATAAGAATTAAACAAAGTTCAGAGGAACCATCCGAACTGCAATCAACATTAGTGGCATGCAAATCTACATTAGTAAAATAAAATCTATTTTAATGACAAGACAAAAACTATACCCTTTAAATTTGTACGGGACCCTTCACCACTACATCAACAGTATCCAGTGGAAAGTGTCAGTTAGCACAAAGTGTTAGGCCAGATCACTGATAGAAATCTAACCCTCAATTCTCATGTACAAACACTTGATAAACAAACAGCTAAAAAAAAAAAAGTATATGAAAAACTCTCTTCATGAAAACACTAGAAAGTTATTATTTACCTCCCACATTTAGACCCACCTAGACTGTGGCTCCACAATATGGGACAGCTGCTCATGTTCAATCATCAAATGACTTAGAGCACTCCAAAAAGAGGCTGTGTGCTTAATAACCTGTTTCAATCTATATAAAGGTCTTATGCTGTTATGGCTCCAGGAATGCCTACATTTCAGTAAGGCTAAATATTCACAAAATCTTATCCCAGAATTCTCCAGATTTCTCTTGGCCATTGTTTAAATATAATGGGAGACATAGCAAACATATTAACATATCCTTAAAACTAGGACAGACTATATAAAACAAGCTCAGCAGCTCCTCTGCTGAATCATTTTTCCACAACAAATCAAACACCCTTTTTCCCCACTCTTCTCTTCTCTTTTTCAGCATTTTGAGCCCTTGAGGTTCATATATTGCAGATATCACCTGCCTCTATTCATCTCTCTGGTTGGCCTTCTCTTTCCAGTTGGTGACATAATGTGTTTGCATGCCTGTCTGGACATTATCTCTCCATCGTTTGAAAGATTTGCACCGAAGACACACTGGCTGCAGAAATTAAAACTCTCAATTCAACTTTACTACTAAATGAGTTCTTCATAGGTTTCATCAAACATCATTGCATCCCACCCAACCCTACCCTGAACGAAATTACAGTATCCAAACTACAAGTATCTATCCAACTTTCTTATCGATGTGATGATGTCATGCAGCGTCTGCAGGACCAACTGAAAACAGCAGTTGGCCAAACATTCTTTGCCGCTGTTCCAGTAGTGAGGTACAAGACCACTCCTATCCCATCCCAACCTATTAAACAGCTCGTTTCTCCGTACACCAAATCTAATTGTATTTACCAATTTACATGTAAGTGCCAGTTGACTTACATCGGTCGAACGGAGAGACATCTTAGAAATGGAGTGGCAGAGCAACTACCCAATTGGCTACATACACAGTTCAGTGATTCTTTAAGGGTGTCGAGACCAGTCAAGAGGAAAGAACCCGCTTCTTACATAAGACGTCATCTACTTAATTCCGGACACGTAATTGACACAGACAGTGCTTTCTGTGTGGTTTACCGCATTCCAAAAAGGAGACTGTTGAGAATGGTTGAAGCTTTAACAATAAAAATTAACAACAGAGTTATTATTCTAAGTGGTGATTAAATACAAAAGAAAAATTTAAAAAACTGATTAGCATTAAAAAGACAACTCGTAAATATCTATGCAAATCATATGATCCCGAACACCAAGGGTTGAGATTTGTGGAGACATTAACGCTTACATCGTCTGACAGGACACATGATGATAATGACTTATTATGTATAAGTTTAGTTCAATACTTGTGTCATTTACTACTTACATTCTAAGACATTTCATTTCATTTGGGCTGTACTTTCCTCTGTGGTTCTTTCTATCATACATTCTCGTGACACGCCTGTATACAGAGAACAACGGACGCTGGATGCCCAATGCAACTGTTCTGTAGAAATCTTTGCGTTCATCTTTAGACATCTCAAATATCACTTCCGCTGGATCTTTGATACTATTGTCCTGTAAGAAGTTAAAATAATGAATATTAGTATAATATAAATCAATTTAAGCATAATATTAGGGAAGCTGAATGTCGAATAGCTCATGAAAAAGCAGCATTTTACAAAATGAAGAATATTTTATGCTATCTTTCTCTGTCAATTAAGACAAGAAAGAGAATTCTTAAAAGTTATATAAATCTTATACTGATTTATAAGAGTGAATCATGGACAGTTGAAAGAAACTGATTCATGAAAAGAGCTGATTGCCCATATCAAAAAGAGACAATCTACATTCTGTGATCATGTCATGAGAAGGAGAAAACTGGAGTACATCCTGACGGTAGAAAAGTTGGAGGGGAGAAGAGGCAGAGGGAGACCCAGAGAACAGATGCTGGACAGTCTGACATCATGGCATGGAGGATCATCTGTGTCAGAGTTGATTGAAAGCGCAGGAGACAGAAGGTTGTGGATAAACATGACTACCAACACCACATGGCATTCCAGGACTTTAAAAAGAAACTGGCATCTGAGTTCAAATATTTGGGAACAACATTCACCAAAGGAAAATTAGACCAAGTATAAGACAGTCCTAGTCAGCACAAAGAAACATTTCATTCACAGCATATTCATCCCCCACCCTATGCTACCAGTGTCGGGTATAGCCATTGACATCAAATCAGAAAAGAAAATGATTCAGCATGGAAATGAGATGTCCGAGATAGGGGCAACCAGAAGATATAAAATCACAAATGAAGCATTTAAAAAAAAAAGGTACAGAACCAATACTTAATTAGATACAAAGGCAGCAAATAAAATGGTTCACCCACTTAAATGTTATGTTATCAGAATCGACGTCACTACATTTTCGGTATTCCCATGTGAGTTCGGTCCTCCGATGCAGTAGCCACTCCAAGGTACCACTACTGATTGTTTCCTTTAGGATTTAGTTATAATGCCTCCTGTCTTGACCTCGAAGGTGGCACAGACGTTCTTCACCATATATTACTCCCAGGTGATGCAATCACGTTAGTTTCAAATTTGCCACTATCCACTTGTCTAGTCTAGACTGTTGATGATATGTGCTCTGTCCATGCTTCTACCTGCAGGCACTGGAGCATTGCTTGCCAGCTGGCCCATTCAATACCTTTTATTCAGACATGCATGTGTGTGCAGCTCCAGGTGAGGAAGGAGACATGCATGTGTGTGTGTGCAGCTCCAGGTGAGGTAGGAGACATGCATGTGTGTGCAGCTCCAGGTGAGGAAGGAGACATGCATGTGTGTGTGTGCAGCTCCAGGTGAGGAAGGAGACATGCATGTGTGTGTGTGTGCAGCTCCAGGTGAGGAAGGAGACATGCATGTGTGTGTGTGCAGCTCCAGGTGAGGTAGGAGACATGCATGTGTGTGTGTGTGCAGCACCAGGTGAGGAAGGAGACATGCATGTGTGTGCAGCTCCAGGTGAGGTAGGAGACATGCATGTGTGTGTGTGCAGCTCCAGGTGAGGAAGGAAACATGCATGTGTGTGTGCAGCTCCAGGTGAGGTAGGAGACATGCATGTGTGTGTGTGTGCAGCTCCAGGTGAGGTATGAGACATGCATGTGTGTGCAGCTCCAGGTGAGGTAGGAGACATGCATGTGTGTGTGTGCAGCTCCAGGTGAGGGAGGAGACATACATGTGTGTGTGTGTGCAGCTCCAGGTGAGGTAGGAGACATGCATGTGTGTGCAGCTCCAGGTGAGGAAGGAGACATGCATGTGTGTGTGTGTGCAGCTCTAGGTGAGGTAGGAGACATGCATGTGTGTGTGTGTGCAGCAGGTGAGGTAGGAGACATGCATGTGTGTGTGTGTGCAGCAGGTGAGGTAGGAGACATGCATGTGTGTGTATGTGCAGCAGGTGAGGTAGGAGACATGCATGTGTGTGCAGCTCTAGGTGAGGGAGGAGACATGCATGTGTGTGTGTGTGCAGCAGGTGAGGTAGGAGACATGCATGTGTGTGTGTGTGTGTGCAGCTCCAGGTGAGGGAGGAGACATGCATGTGTGTGTGTGTGTGCAGCAGGTGAGGTAGGAGACATGCATGTGTGCGTGTGTGCAGCAGGTGAGGTAGGAGACATGCATGTGTGTGTGTGTGCAGCAGGTGAGGTAGGAGACATGCATGTGTGTGTGTGTGCAGCAGGTGAGGGAGGAGACATGCATGTGTGTGCGTGTGTGCAGCTCCAGGTGAGGTAGGAGACATGCATGTGTGTGCAGCTCTAGGTGAGGTAGGAGACATGCATGTGTGTGTGTGCAGCTCCAGGTGAGGGAGGAAACATGCATGTGTGTGTGTGTGCAGCAGGTGAGGTAGGAGACATGCATGTGTGTGTGTGCAGCTCCAGGTGAGGGAGGAGACAAGCATGTGTGTGTGTGTGTGCAGCAGGTGAGGTAGGAGACATGCATGTGTGTGTGTGTGCAGCAGGTGAGGTAGGAGACATGCATATGTGTGTGTGTGCAGCTCCAGGTGAGGGAGGAGACATGCATGTGTGTGCAGCTCCAGGTGAGAAAGGAGACATGCATGTGTGTGCAGCTCCAGGTGAGGAAGGAGACATGCATGTGTGTGTGTGTGCAGCTCCAGGTGAGGAAGGAGACATGCATGTGTGTGTGTGTGCAGCTCCAGGTGAGGTAGGAGACATGCATGTGTGTGCAGCTCCAGATGAGGAAGGAGACATGCATGTGTGTGCAGCTCCAGGTGAGGTAGGAGACATGCATGTGTGTGCAGCTCCAGATGAGGTAGGAGACATGCATGTGTGTGCAGCTCCAGGTGAGGTAGGAGACATGCATGTGTGTGCAGCTCTAGGTGAGGTAGGAGACATGCATGTGTGTGCAGCTCTAGGTGAGGTAGGAGACATGCATGTGTGTGCAGCTCCAGGTGAGGGAGGAGACATGCATGTGTGTGTGTGTGTGTGCAGCAGGTGAGGTAGGAGACATGCATGTGTGTGTGTGTGCAGTAGGTGAGGTAGAAGACATGCATGTGTGTGTGTGTGCAGCAGGTGAGGTAGGAGACATGCATGTGTGTGTGTGCAGCTCCAGATGAGGAAGGAGACATGCATGTGTGTGCAGCTCCAGGTGAGGAAGGAGACATGCATGTGTGTGTGGGTGCAGCTCCAGGTGAGGGAGGAGACATGCATGTGTGTGTGTGTGCAGCTCCAGGTGAGGAAGGAGACATTCATGTGTGTGCAGCTCTAGGTGAGTTAGGAGACATGCATGTGTGTGTGTGTGTGCAGCAGGTGAGGTAGGAGACATGCATGTGTGTGTGTGCAGCGCCAGGTGAGGGAGGAGACATGCATGTGTGTGCAGTTCCAGGTGAGGAAGGAGACATGCATGTGTGTGTGTGTGCAGCTCTAGGTGAGGTAGGAGACATGCATGTGTGTGTGTGTGTGTGTGCAGCTCCAGGTGAGGTAGGAGACATGCATGTGTGTGTGTGTGTGCAGCTCCAGGTGAGGAAGGAGACATGCATATGTGTGCAGCTCTAGGTGAGGTAGGAGACATGCATGTGTGTGTGTGTGCAGCTCCAGGTGAGGTAGGAGACATGCATGTGTGTGTGTGAAGCTCCAGGTGAGGTAGGAGACATGCATGTGTGTGTGTGTGTGTGTGTGTGTGTGTGTGTGTGCAGCTTCAGGTGAGGTAGGAGACATGCATGTGTGTGTGTGTGCAGCTCCAGGTGAGGAAGGAGACATGCATGTGTGTGCAGCTCTAGGTGAGGTAGGAGACATGCATGTGTGTGTGTGCAGCTCCAGGTGAGGTAAGAGACATGCATGTGTGTGTGTGTGCAGCTCCAGGTGAGGTAGGAGACATGCATGTGTGTGTGTGTGTGCAGCTCCAGGTGAGGTAGGAGACATGCATGTGTGTGTGTGTGCAGCTCCAGGTGAGGGAGGAGACATGCATGTGTGTGTGTGTGCAGCTCTAGGTGAGGAAGGAGACATGCATGTGTGTGCAGCTCTAGGTGAGGAAGGAGACATGCATGTGTGTGTGTGTGTGCAGCTCCAGGTGAGGTAGGAGACATGCATGTGTGTATGTGTGCAGCTCCAGGTGAGGAAGGAGACATGCATGTGTGTGCAGCTCTAGGTGAGGTAGGAGACATGCATGTGTGTGTGTGCAGCTCCAGGTGAGGGAGGAGACATGCATGTGTGTGCAGCTCCAGGTGAGGTAGGAGACATGCATGTGTGTGCAGCTCCAGGTGAGGTAGGAGACATGCATGTGTGTGCAGCTCCAGGTGAGGTAGGAGACATGCATGTGCATATCGGATTGATTATCAACCCCCTACAGGTCAACAGAACGACCTTGAAAACGTTAACGGTTACTTCAACAGATGCATATGCAGTCCAAAACTCCTGAACACGACCATGTCACTCCTTGGTGTTTTTGTCAGCAGTTTCCCTGAGTTATCCAATAGATTTAACAAATCCTGCTTCCTGCAGAAACAGAGGTAACGCCACAGCACTAGGCCTACATTTCTCCATGGAATCCCAGGGTCAATCTTCCTCTAGGATGCACCAAGGCTCAAACACACGTTCCCCTTCTTGAACTTCTCGACTGCGAATCTCTAGATTCAAATCTCACAACCATATGTAATGCTTACGACATCCTATTTGCTCAGTCAATATTGGTGTGCTTAAGTGCACCTCTGCACGTGATACAGCTATTCTTAAAAGGCAGAACTCAACTACATTATTTGGACAAACGATAAAGAAGAAGTAGCCTTTCATCAATATGCCTGTTACACAGCAGTGGTTTATGCCCCCCCCCCCCCCACCCCCCCCCCCACCCCCTTTCCATGGTGCCCTGGAAAACATACGCGGAAATTCAAGTTGAATAATCCATGAATTCCAACTCCACACCCCACCTCCTTTTCTCCCACTATCTCTGTCTCACAAATGAAGTTTTTCTATTTTATCATATCCGATGAAGATCACTTTCACAGAAACATAACAATGACATTTTCATTATGACCGGACAGGTCACACATTTTTACCAACACATAATAAAACATATTTTGTCAAATGTTGTGCTGGACAACCCAAGCGAGTCTTGGAAAGTAGGAACTATAGCTCAAACACACAATACATAAACTGTCAGCTTCCTCTTTCATGAAAATATTCACATAATGAAAGAAGGCAAAGAGTACTGACACTGGAACACACCGACACACCTTACAATATTTGTTTATATTTGCCTCCAATACTTCCACTTCTTCTTTTGTCCACTGACCCTGTTTCCATTTATGACCTGTGGATACAGTACAAAACTCAGCTCTAGCATATGTCACATAAGTATAAAATCTAGACACTTCAATTTGCCAGGATCAGAGATTCTTGGTCAATCTCAATATACAATCAGACTTTTAGTCTGAGGGTCGAGGGTTCAAGAACCTTATTCAGCACTGTGTTTTTCTCCCACTTTGTGACTTTTAAGATAAATGTTGTTCATTCAAAGCCGAAACATGATAATTTGTACCCCTTTGTTAAAGGACAGGCCTATTCATTTCATGATATTCTTTGTATTTTCCTTAGAAACCACATTTTAACATTTCTCAACATGCTCTGTGAGTTATGCATGCATACAACAAGATAACTCGCAAATTTAATGCACAAACTAATCACCATAGTAACTGGGATAAACTGTGTGTGTTTACCACTTACTAGAGTGTTGTAGGGGATAAACTGTGTGTGTTTACCACTTACTAGAGTGGTGTAGGGGTTAAACTGTGTGTGTTTACCACTTACTAGAGTGGTGTAGGGGATAAACTGTGTGTGTTTACCACTTACTAGAGTGGTGTAGGGGATAAACTGTGTGTGTTTACCACTTACTAGAGTGGTGTAGGGGATAAACTGTGTGTGTTTACCACTTACTAGAGTGTTGTAGAGGTGTGTGTGTTTACCATACTAGAGTGGTGTAGAGGATAAACCTGTGTGTGTTTACCACTTACTAGAGTGGTGTAGAGGATAAACTGTGTGTGTTTACCACTTACTAGAGTGGTGTAGAGGATAAACTCTGTGTGTTTACCACTTACTAGAGTGGTGTAAGTGGGATAAACTGTGTGTGTTTACCACTTACTAGAGTGGTGTAGAGGATAAACTGTGTGTGTTTACCACTTACTAGAGTGGTGTAGAGGATAAACTGTGTGTGTTTACCACTTACTAGAGTGGTGTAGAGGATAGACTGTGTGTGTTTACCACTTACTAGAGTGGTGTAGAGGATAAACTGTGTGTGTTTTACCACTTACTAGAGTGGTGTAGGGATAAACTGTGTGTGTTTACCACTTACTAGAGTGGTGTGTAGAGGATAGACTGTAGTGTGTTTACCACTTACTAGAGTGGTGTAGAGGATAAACTGTGTGTGTTTACCACTTACTAGAGTGGTGTAGGGGATAAACTGTGTGTGTTTTTACCACTTACTAGAGTGGTGTAGAGGATAGACTGTGTGTGTTTACCACTTACTAGAGTGGTGTAGAGGATAAACTGTGTGTGTTTACCACTTACTAGAGTGGTGTAGAGGATAAACTGTGTGTGTTTAACACTTACTAGAGTGGTGTAGAGGATAAACTGTGTGTGTTTACCACTTACTAGAGTGGTGTAGAGGATAAACTGTGTGTGTTTACCACTTACTAGAGTGGTGTAGAGGATAAACTGTGTGTGTTTACCACTTACTAGAGTGGTGTAGAGGATAAACTGTGTGTGTTTACCACTTACTAGAGTGGTGTAGAGGATAAACTGTGTGTGTTTACCACTTACTAGAGTGGTGTAGAGGATAGACTGTGTGTGTTTACCACTTACTAGAGTGGTGTAGAGGATAAACTGTGTGTGTTTACCACTTACTAGAGTGGTGTAGAGGATAACCTGTGTGTGTTTACCACTTACTAGAGTGGTGTAGAGGATAACCTGTGTGTGTTTACCACTTACTAGAGTGGTGTAGAGGATAAACTGTGTGTGTTTACCACTTACTAGAGTGGTGTAGAGGTGTGTGTGTTTGTAGTGGTGTAGGATAGACTGTGTGTGGTTTACCACTTACTGTGTGTGTTTACCACTTACTAGAGTGGTGTAGAGGATAAACTGTGTGTGTTTACCACTTACTAGAGTGGTGTAGAGGATAGACTGTGTGTGTTTACCACTTACTAGAGTGGTGTAGAGGATAAACTGTGTGTGTTTACCACTTACTAGAGTGGTGTAGAGGATAAACTGTGTGTGTTTACCACTTACTAGAGTGGTGTAGAGGATAAACTGTGTGTGTTTACCACTTACTAGAGTGGTGTAGAGGATAAACTGTGTGTGTTTACCACTTACTAGAGTGGTGTAGAGGATAAACTGTGTGTGTTTACCACTTACTAGAGTGGTGTAGGGGATAAACTGTGTGTGTTTACCACTTACTAGAGTGGTGTAGAGGATAAACTGTGTGTGTTTACCACTTACTAGAGTGGTGTAGGGGATAAACTGTGTGTGGAGTGGTGTAGAGGATAAACTGTGTGTGTTTACCACTTACTAGAGTGGTGTAGGGGATAAACTGTGTGTGTGTTTACCACTTACTAGAGTGGTGTAGAGGATAAACTGTGTGTGTTTACCACTTACTAGAGTGGTGTAGAGGATAAACTGTGTGTGTTTACCACTTACTAGAGTGGTGTAGAGGGGATAAACTGTGTGTGTTTACCACTTACTAGAGTGGTGTAGAGGATAAACTGTGTGTGTTTACCACTTACTAGAGTGGTGTAGAGGATAAACTGTGTGTGTTTACCACTTACTAGAGTGGTGTAGAGGATAAACTGTGTGTGTTTACCACTTACTAGAGTGGTGTAGAGGATAAAACACTTACTAGAGTGGTGTAGGGGATAAACTGTGTATGTTTAACACTTACTAGAGTGGTGTAGAGGATAACCTGTGTGTGTTTACCACTTACTAGAGTGGTGTAGAGGATAACCTGTGTGTGTTTACCACTTACTAGAGTGGTGTAGAGGATAAACTGTGTGTGTTTACCACTTACTAGAGTGGTGTAGAGGATAAACTGTGTGTGTTTACCACTTACTAGAGTGGTGTAGAGGATAAACTGTGTGTGTTTAACACTTACTAGAGTGGTGTAGAGGATAAACTGTGTGTGTATACCATTTACTAGAGTGGTGTAGAGGATAAACTGTGTGTGTTTAACACTTACTAGAGTGGTGTAGAGGATAAACTATGTGTGTTTACCACTTACTAGAGTGGTGTAGGGGATAACCTGTGTGTGTTTACCACTTACTAGAGTGGTGTAGAGGATAACCTGTGTGTGTTTACCACTTACTAGAGTGGTGTAGAGGATAACCTGTGTGTGTTTACCACTTACTAGAGTGGTGTAGAGGATAAACTGTGTGTGTTTACCACTTACTAGAGTGGTGTAGGGGATAAACTGTGTGTGTTTACCACTTACTAGAGTGGTGTAGGGGATAAACTGTGTGTGTTTACCACTTACTAGAGTGGTGTAGGGGATAAACTGTGTGTGTTTACCACTTACTAGAGTGGTGTAGAGGATAACCTGTGTGTGTTTACTACTTACTAGAGTGGTGTAGAGGATAACCTGTGTGTGTTTACCACTTACTAGAGTGGTGTAGGGGATAAACTGTGTGTGTTTACCACTTACTAGAGTGGTGTAGAGGATAGACTGTGTGTGTTTACCACTTACTAGAGTGGTGTAGAGGATAAACTGTGTGTGTTTAACACTTACTAGAGTGGTGTAGAGGATAAACTGTGTGTGTTTACCACTTACTAGAGTGGTGTAGAGGATAAACTGTGTGTGTTTACCACTTACTAGAGTGGTGTAGAGGATAGACTGTGTGTGTTTACCACTTACTAGAGTGGTGTAGGGGATAGACTGTGTAAGTTTACCACTTACTAGAGTGGTGTAGGGGATAAACTGTGTGTGTTTACCACTTACTAGAGTGGTGTAGAGGATAAACTGTGTGTGTTTACCACTTACTAGAGTGGTGTAGGGGATAAACTGTGTGTGTTTACCACTTACTAGAGTGGTGTAGGGGATAAACTGTGTGTTTACCACTTACTAGAGTGGTGTAGGGGATAAACTGTGTGTGTTTACCACTTACTAGAGTGGTGTAGGGGATAAACTATGTGTGTTTAACACTTACTAGAGTGGTGTAGAGGATAAACTGTGTGTGTTTACCACTTACTAGAGGTGTGTAGAGGATAAACTGTGTGTGTTTACCACTTACTAGAGTGGTGTAGAGGATAAAATGTGTGTGTTTAACACTTACTAGAGTGGTGTAGAGGATAGACTGTGTGTGTTTACCACTTACTAGAGTGGTGTAGGGGATAAACTGTGTGTGTTTAACACTTACTAGAGTGGTGTAGAGGATAAACTGTGTGTGTTTACCACTTACTAGAGTGGTGTAGGGCAGGAGAAGTAAGCTTGAGGATTGATGGCTGTATGATCAAGATTTATAATTAAACTAATATCAAAAGAATACATCAAAGAATAAAACCGCTGGTCTCTGGCTGAAGCAGCACCCCACGCTGTCTGCAAACATCACAATTTCTTGTGTACTGGACAAATGCCTTTCACTTTTCTTGAGGTCTGTTGTGTACAAGAGGAGGAGGTGGGAAACTGCTTCAGCAAGAAGCCAGCAGTTTCATTCCTTGATGCAGAAATGACTGTATGACATACATGACTTCCAGTTAACTTCATTTCAATTTCTCAGTTAAGGCAGGCAAATTAGTCCCTTTCTTAACATTTTCCCAATGTATTTCAGGACCCTAAGTTGCTATTTCCTGGTTGTTATCAGTTTCAATGGCCCTCTTGCAACAAAGTACACAGAAATTATCTTACCTTCATTGTGAAGAGCATTTTTATCATCCTTTGTGGTAAACCAAGCCTGGTTAATGCCGTCAACACTAGCACTATGAGATGTCTTGGCCCGTGAAAGAGTTGCAGATGGCGTTCCTACTGTTACTGCAGACGAGTTTGCTGGCCTCTTTCTTCCACCTTTAACACTCTGCGTAAGAACAAAGTGCATTGTAAAGAATACTAAACATATAAAAATGAATGAGGCATCCTTCAAGAAGTAAGATAAAAATCATACATAGATCACAGACATTAGACAGAGATTATACACAGAAATAAACCTGCTACACCTTGACAGGGAAAGTGCAAGAAAAAAAAAATGCCAGGATGGCTTAGCTACTTGAAATAATCCTGATAAACATAACAGAATTGGTCTGAGACTGAAACAATGATTTAATCTTCCTAAATGAACTGATCTAGCTTTGCATGAACAAAAGGTTCGGATATGAGTTCTAATCTCATGTGAGGCAGCAGGCAAAACTCAGAATGTTTTCTGTAGAATACAAGGCCACTACCTGAGAAGGGCATGCTATATTTCTCAGACCTCATAAAAACCTTCCAGAAGAAGAGGGAGGGCTTGAACAGCATTCACAAAAGCAGATATTTGTAAAAAGTACTATGATATGTATATTTGCTCAACACAGAAAAGAATGTCCATCACCTTACCAACGATTTTAACCTGCAACTCCTGCATGAGTGCCCAGAGGAAAGAAATAGAGATAAGACATGCTGGACAAGAGAACAACTGTAAGCTATAGTGACCATACCAGCTTTTGAATGTGGCACCTTGTTGTATAGTTTACACATAATAAAGGTTTAAAGTCTTCTTCTTCTTCTGCCTTCTATCCCCTAATGGGGAATACGCCCTCAACTAACTCATGCCAAGTCATTCTATTCTTCTCTACTGCAGCAGCTCTCTCCATCTTTTTGACTTTATTCCCTAGCTTTTTTTCCATGTGTTTGTTTTTTAATTCTTCATATATTTCTGGGTCCCTGGGTTCTAGTGCAAAGACATTCTACTTTTACTGTTCTCAGGTTTCCTTAATGTTTGTCCTAAACACCAGTGTCCTTTCTTCACTACTTGGCCCACTGGAACTTGTTTAGTTCTCTCCCTTAGCTCTACATTAGTGATTCTATCATACTGTCTAATTCCCTCTATTCTGCCGGGGCACCAGTTAATGAATGTCTGAAGTTGTCTAGTTGTTCTCCATGTTTCTGCTCCACAGTCAGCACTGATTTGACATTGGAATTAAATATTTCAAGTTTAGTATTAGTTTTAACTTCATCTGATCTCCACAAATTTCCTAGTGCTTTCAAGCTAATCTTGCCTTTTGTATTTGTACTTTCATATCTCTGTCAGTTCCCCCTTTATCTACATTACTGCTCAAATAGGTGTATGAGTCCATGTCTTGAAGTGGGATACCATTTAGAGAAACCACATTACTATTTGCATGATTTATCCTCATTATCTTTGTCTTTTCCTTGTGGTAGAAAGCATTAACTTCACTGCACCTGATTTTATTGGGATCTCCGTAAAAATAGCACTCGTGAAGCGAACAACTCAGTCCATGAAACAACCTCACAACCGTTACAGTACAAAAGCAAATGGCTTAACCATTTATCAATGTTATTCTAAAAATGTAACTAAGTGAAATCAAATCAGTACAGTACCTTGGCAGGTGCTAACTGCTGGGACACTGCCTTCACCGGCTCTGTTATCACTTCTGCTACATCATCTGTCAAAATAAAACAAGTTTATATAGAAAGCAAACTGACAGAGTGGCTGGTAGACTTGCTTACAGAAATGTACTTCTGACCAGTCTAGATTCTGAGTTAAACCAACCCTTACAAATGGATGCCAGGTTAGGAGTAACAGTAAAGTGATTTTTAAAAAAAACAACCAGTGAACTTCACAGGAAAAGGACCTCATAAGCAGTCATTTTTTTACAGAACAATTTTTAGGGGGTGGTGGGTTTATTCTTGTTTCTTCCTGGAACTCACATGGGGAGATTTGCTTACACAAGCAAGACTCAATATGATGTTGTAAAAGATATGTGGGGAAAAACATGTCATCATAACGCTGCATGTCATTGGATCACTATTTGCTGCTGACTATTTGCTGCCTCCACCTTTGTGGGTCAGATGCAGTGAACTTCATAGTTGCATGCCTTAGACCTATCCATGCAGCTAAGTTTTGTTTCAAGTTTTCCATCCAGGTCATTCTTGGTCTGAATCTTCTTCTCCGCCCCTCTACTGACACCTGTAGTACTGTTTTTGACAGCCTGTTAGATCTTATTAAATGCCCATTCCACTGTTTTTTCATGTCATTTCAATGTAGTTAAAAGGGTTCAAAGTTGCCAATGTGCTGGGCAATTTAACGTGAACCTGGTCATTTGTAATGTTTTCTCTGTATGATATGCCAGGAATTTTTGGGAAAGATTTCATTTCCAATACTTGTATTTTACAGAGTTCAGCTGTTAAAATCCATGTTTCACAGCCATATGTAATGGTATTTATTACTCTTTAACACATACCCAGACAACCACCTCCACAAAAAGTATATACTCACTGGTATATTCTGTGACAGAGAAGTTTTTGGGAATTTTCTATGGGAGCAAGTTTCTGCAAAGGACATGCTACTGACTGACTGACTCACTAAAATTCTGTTACAACTACACAGCAGAGATCCTAGCACTAGAGCAGGCTGCCGATAGGTTACACAACACCAGTTGTGACTGCCACCAAGTGGTCATCTTCATAAATGTGCTACTGGTGCTCCAAGCCCTCAAGAGTGGCAAACTCCCTCACCTGAGATCTGAATTTGGCAAGGTGGCTGCCCAAAAGTGTAATGTACACCAGTGTGTGCCATCCCACTGTGGAATACCAGGAAACAAAACTGCAGACAGACCTGCTAAAAAGGGGGGCAGAATGTGAAAAGGAAGAGAATGCAGTAACATACTATGAGAAGAAAAGGACCATTCAGTATCAGAAATGAACAGAGTCTGGCCAGAGATGACTACGACTTATTTGACTGGCATAGGCAAGTCATTATTCGATGCCTCCGGACAAGACATAACAAACTTAACCAGCATATGTACAGGCTTCATCTAAGTAGTTCACCATCATGCCCTAGTAGGCTGTGTGTGAAAACTACATATCCGACAAGAATGTCCCTTGTATAGCCCACCAAGAAGGAAATACTAGTCCACTGAGTCAACACTGCATTAAAGTTATTTGAAACTAAAATAAAACTCCTAAAAATAGTCCAGTTAATCAAAAGAACTTGTCGGTCGGTGTAAATCAGACAGCAAACATAAAAAGAAGAAGAACTAGTGCTCTGAGTAGTCGTAGCTCAGTTTTACATGACATAGTTTTGGTATGTCTACAATATTTGCTGTTTGGTAAGAACTGATGTTGTCTGGGCAATCCTAGAGATGATTTCTGGTCTGGACCCCGGGTCACATAGAACTTTGGTAAGAACTGATGTTGTCTGGGCAATCCTAGAGATGATTTCTGGTCTGGACCCTGGCTCACATAAAACTTTGGTAAGAACTGATGTTGTCTGGGCAATCCTAGACATGATTTCTGGTCTGGACCCTGGGTCCCATAAAACTTTGGTAAGAACTGATGTTGTCTGGGCAATCCTAGACATGATTTCTGGTCTGGACCCCAAGTCACATAAAACTTTGGTAAGAACTGATGTTGTCTGGGCAATCCTAGAGATGATTTCTGGTCTGGACCCCGGGTCACATAAAACTTTGGTAAGAACTGATGTTGTCTGGGCAATCCTAGACATGATTTCTGGTCTGGACCCCAAGTCACATAAAACTTTGGTAAGAACTGATGTTGTCTGGGCAATCCTAGAGATGATTTCTGGTCTGGACCCCGGGTCACATAGAACTTTGGTAAGAACTGATGTTGTCTGGGCAATCCTAGACATGATTTCTGGTCTGGACCCTGGGTCACATAAAACTTTGGTAAGAACTGATGTTGTCTGGGCAATCCTGGACATAATTTCTGGTCTGGACCCCAAGTCACATAAAACTTTGGTAAGAACTGATGTTGTCTGGGCAATCCTAGAGATGATTTCTGGTCTGGACCCTGGGTCACATAAAACTTTGGTAAGAACTGATGTTGTCTGGGCAATCCTGGACATGATTTCTGGTCTGGACCCTGGTTCACATAAAACACTCCTCAATATTTCAAGTGACTGGAGTGGAGAGACTGCTGCCGGAATGAAGACTGAACACACAAGAAAAGCGCCAAAGAAACACGTGCCAACACCTTGGCAACAGTTGGTTAAGCTTAGCAACGAAGACACTGACACCCGCTGCTGAAAAAATGCACCAAGGAAATACGCACCTACACCTTGGCAACAGTTGGTAACGCTTAGCATGCACAACGGAAAACCCCATCTTACCACCTCCTGAGATATTATACTGTTGTGTGACCTGTGGATTTCTGTTTGTTTAGAGGAAGTTGTTGGAACTGTACCAATTTTTACAAATTATACCTTATGATAAACGATCACAAATTGTTTTTACTGTAAAATATCTTTATTACAAAACTACTAGTAACGTACCTGGCTCGGTTGCCGATCATCTGATAGACTGCGACGCCTAGCGGCACAAGCAGATTTTGACAAAAGAAGAAGACTAGTAACGTAGTAGCCATCTTAGTGATGTGGCTTTACACATGCACTTGCCCACCTGATGGTTAAGGGTTCAAAACTGCTCAAAGACATTTTTTTTAAAATTACACAGAATACTTGGGTGCCCTAATTAGCCAGTCTCAAAGAGGTACCAGGAAACATCCTGGGACGTCACTAAATTGTGCTTTCTTCACAATGGAAATTGGCTGCAATGTATTCACAGCCAACTCTGGGAATATTACATGAGGCTGCCACAATCACTTCCACAGTATGACTCTCTTATCACTGTCTAAAAGGGTCTTTTCTGGGAAGTAAAGAACACATCAGCAATCTGAGTGCTAATTAAAAATATTTGGGTTTAACACCATTTGCCTGATTTGCAACTGGCATGAACAATCTTTGGTCACCCAAACATTAGTAATGAATCTCGGTCTTACCTGATACAGCAAGGACATACGTCTGCCCGTCTGCACCATCAAATCTGATAAACTTTGAAGAAACACCTTCTGACAATTCCACCGACTCTGAATCAAATCAACATTCAAATAAATTAGACCTGGCAACCATTTTTTTTTATAATATGTAATTTAACAAGTCAGAAAAGCAATTTACTAAAAAAAATAATTATATCTAAAATATTTTTTGTTTAAACTTTGATGTTTTACATTTTGAATGAGAAACAATCAATTTAAGAATATTCTGTTTATTTATTGAAACAATGTCAGTAAGAAGTCTCACAGTATCTCAAAGACTTCCATTCAGAAACAATGTCAGTAAGAAGTCTCACAGTATCTCAAAGACTTCCATTCAGAAACAATGTCAGTAAGAAGTCTCACAGTATCTCAAAGACTTCCATTCAGAAACAATGTCAGTTAGAAGTCTCACAGTATCTCAAAGACTTCTATTCAGAAACAATGTCAGTAAGAAGTCTCACAGTATCTCAAAGACTTCTATTCAGAAACAATGTCAGTAAGAAGTCTCACAGTATCTCAAAGACTTCGATTCAGAAACAATGTCAGTAAGAAGACTCACAATATCTCAAAGACTTCTATTCAGAAACAATGTCAGTAAGAAGTCTCACAATATCTCAAAGACTTCTATTCAGAAACAGTCTCACAGTATCTCAAAGACTTCTATTCAGAAACAATGTCAGTAAGAAGTCTCACAGTATCTCAAAGACTTCCATTCAGAAACAATGTCAGTTAGAAGTCTCACAGTATCTCAAAGACTTCTATTCAGAAACAATGTCAGTAAGAAGTCTCACAGTATCTCAAAGACTTCTATTCAGAAACAATGTCAGTAAGAAGTCTCACAGTATCTCAAAGACTTCTATTCAGAAACAATGTCAGTAAGAAGTCTCACAGTATCTCAAAGACTTCTATTCAGAAACAATGTCAGTAAGAAGTCTCACAGTATCTCAAAGACTTCTATTCAGAAACAATGTCAGTAAGAAGTCTCAATCAATCAATCAGGTGCCGTCTCCACAATGAAGGTTGGCTGCAATGAATCTCCAACAAGCCCTGTCTCTTGCCCTTGATGTACACTCACTCATACTGCTGTTCGTCCATCTCTTGATGTTATCATCCCACTTGTAACGCTGTCTGCCTTTTGCTCGCCTACCTTGAACCTTTCCCTCTAGGATGATCTTTACAATATTATTATGTCTTTTAATGTGGCCAAAATATTTCACTTGTCTCTTTTTTATTTCACCTAGCAACTCTTTTTTCATTCCCAATTTCCTCAGTACCTCTGTATTTGATAGCTTTTGTTTCCATGAAATACGACCTAATCTTCTGTATATCCACATCTCCAAAGAATTTATACGATTTTCCAGTTGTTTGTTCATTGTCCATGTCTCTGTGCCATACAGTAAGGTTGAGAATACATAACATTTGACAATTCTCATTTTTAATGTATTGCTTATTTCTCTTGATGTCAGGCATGTTGTTGAAAATGTTTTTGGCCATCCCTATTCTTTTCTTGACTTCTGTTTCACTTCTGCCGTCACATGTTATTACTTGTCCAAGATATAAGAAATTTGAAACTTGTTCCAATTTCACCTCTTTCACTGTGATATTCATTGTTAGCTGATTATTTTCTTTGCTAAATATCATGGTTTTTTGTCTTTTTCAAATTTATACCTAATCCAAATTCTGCACTCCTTCTGTTTACTTGCTCCACTAGGTCTTGCAACTCCTGCTCACTCTCTGCTAGCAACATTGTGTCATCAGCATATCTCAGATTGTTTATAATTCTACCATTGATGTGCAGTCCTGGTAATTCTACAATTTATTTAAAAGTAGTTTCTGTACATACGTTGAAAAGGCTAGGCGACAGCACACATCCTTGTCTTACTTCTCTCTTGATCTCTATCTGGGGTGAGTAGATGATGTCATATCTTACTGTTGCTTCTTGCTCCCAGTATGAGTTTCTAATAAGTCTGATATCCTTTCCTTCTAGTCCTATGTTCATCACCTGCTGCCTTACTGTTTGCTAATGAATTGATTGCCATGTGCGGCGCCCATGGTTTAGGCGTTACGAGTCCCACTCGCAATTCCAACATACTGTCATCGAAATTCACTGCTGGCTGTGTGGAATTTTATCATGGTATGGGGCGTCGCAGGTCGACCCAGCCTAAAATGGATACCAGGATGCATGTCCTGGGGAAGTACAGACCACATTACCCACCTAGTGCTGATTGGTCTGTAAAAATATGGGTGCCTAAAGCGTGAAAAGGGATTTTTACTTTACTTTTTTTCTGATTTCCATGTCATTTATCTTTCCTATATTTAGTGGTAATATGGTCATTTTAGCCTCTTCATCAAAATTCATTGTTCCCGTGGACTAGGTCTATTTAATGTTCTAAACGCTGTCTGAAGCAAAAATAACATCAAAGCTTAACATTCTTCCATGCCTAGTCCTCCATTCTAGACTGGCAGTCTAGATCTATTTCAGATTTCTTGGAAGTGTTCTGCCTTCGTCTACAACTGTCTTTCCTACAGCCATGCAGTTGGTCTGAGGTATTTATTGACACTTCACAATTTTAACAATGTCACATCCCATATGGAGAGGGAAACATTCACTATGAGTTTGTTGCTAGTATGGCTGCAGTTCAGGCAGGTGAGAAAATCTCCATCTCTGGTGTCATCCAGTATCATTGTGCTCAGCATTAGATGTAAGCACTGTATCTTCCTTTCTTTGAATGGGATCACTTAGTAGTTGAATGGGATCACCTAGTAGTTGAATAGGATCACCTAGCAGTTGAATGGGATCATCTAGCAGTTGAATGGGATCACTGCACAACATTTAACTAATCTATCAACATATGCTCTCTTATCTCGCACTGCACAACTTTTGATGTTTAACTTTCATGCTGTAATCTCTGTTAGCACTGATTTCATGTTCTGTTGTTCTAGAAGTGCACATGATAGAGGAAGGTGTCAGCCATTTTGCGCTGTGGCATGGGAGAACATCTGTATTGGACAGGACATGAGACAGAGGCTATGGGCAGCTATGATGACAAACAGTCACACTGTGTCAGCTATATAAATAAAGTAAGCTTAGGAAAGAGACATATATAGCAGAAAAGAACATACCGGAACTTCCATCCGTCGTGCGTGTCAGAATGATAAACTGCTGTGGAGCAATCTGTTGAAATGGAACAGCCACTGTATCTTCACTAGTACTTCCATCCCCATCCATCTCTTCAGTTTTTATCATATCCACAGATCCCATTTCAACCTCAGTCACTGCTTCAAAGTGATCCATCTCTAAGCTGCCCATCTCTGAACAAATAGACGGTTCTGACTTAAAGACAAGAATCTTGTCTGCATCATTTGTATGCGTGAGCTGTGAAATGTCCGAGACCACCTCAGTTAAAATAGGCATGATATCACGTCTGTTTTCATCTGGGTCATCAACACTACTGTCTTCATCGTTATCTGCACCTGTCAGGTGTGAAGCTGATATAATGTATGATGCACTTGAATCATCTTCCATCATTGTTCAATCACAGGCTGAAAAGGAACATAAAAGAATTTGAAGCAAGTATTTTCTAAAAGACTATAAAAAGCTTTAACAACTGTCTAAATAAAGAAAACAAAATCATCAGCAAGATGCTGAGTGTTCCACAAAGTACACAGTAAAAAATACAGACATGGTAGCACAGTGTCCAGCTCGTTTGCCTGACAGACCAGTGGTCCTATTTTTGAATTGGAATAGAAATTCCCTTGGTCTTGCAAGATGGCTCTCAGTGAAAACCAAGTAGTATGGTTCAGTGGAGGAGATGTGTCGCACCATAGCCTTCATAAAGGCCTATGGCCTTCTTATCTGAAAATGACTGGCAGGGAGAACAAAAAAGAAGAAAAAAGAACTTCCATAAGGTGCCATGACCTGTTTTAGGGTTCAGGGTCATAACAAAGCAAGATCATGAAGATGGTTTAGAATCTGTAAATAGCATGCAATACAAAATATGCAATAAAGCCCAGATAGGTTAACTAGTGGTCATTCAGTAAAGAAACAGAAGAAGAAGGGAAATGACTTTTTTTTTTTTATGTCTTAGCAGATATAATAATGAAGCATATGTCATCCAGCTGTTAGACTGTGTTGATGATTGGATAAGTCAAAAAACAAGTTGTTTTATTTATACTGCTGTAGCAATGGTAGGCAATAAAGTGAATACAGTCGAGTCTGGATAAGTAAAAGTTGCAGGGACCTAAGAAAATGGATTTTCACTTATCCTGACAGCAAACACAATAGAGAAAATTGCCAGGACTAAGCTGGTCATGTCGACTTAACCGAAATTCGACTTAAGTGGACTCGACTGTAGTGGTAGAGCACTCTTGTGTATGTGCAATCAGTTCGATGTCATGGATGGAACCCAGTCCAGTAGCTTTGGCCTCTCTCATTAACGTTCGTCCTAAGGTTTCTCTTGGGCGTCCTTGCTAAGTACAACTTAGGAAGCAGCAAAATTATAAACGTGTTTTACATGACACTTCTGGCTAAAGGACATCACTAGTTAATTTTCAAGGCAAGGTTGAGTCACAGGGTTTAGACTGAACACAACAACATACTGAAACTATTACTACTAGTACTGAAAGACTATATAAATATTATGTTTAACATATGTTTGTCAGTTCTTTGTATGTGAGCAACAATAATCCTATGATGACCTGTCAATTTGTACGTTCTTGTTCAGGGCTATATATTCTACTAAATTCTAGAAGAAAAGATGCTAGGACTCACAATAAGGTGTCTATTTGTACTATTAAAATTTAAATAGCCTTGAAGAAACATAAGAGGTAGAGGTATTGCATACAAAGTCCTGCTCGTGTCAAACTGAATCTAAACAGACATGACCGGAGTCAACTTGATTGCACCAAAAACTGTAGAGACTGTTCAACAATTAATTGGGGGCGAGGGGGTATCAACAGACAGGAAAGAAGAAATATGAGAACTCTATGAAAACAATTGTACAGGTTGTATTTGTTCTTATAAAGTTATGTGTGGGATACATTGTTGATTG